GTCTCGGTGTGTTTCTCCTTGGGTTTATCCTGTATGGGACTTGCTGCGCTTCCTGGACCTGGGTGGCTATTTTCTTCCCCATTTTAGGGAAGTTTTCGACTATAATCTCTGCAAATATTTTCTCTGGTCTTTCCTCTCTCTCTTCTCCTTCTGGGACCCCTGTAATGCCAATGTTGTTGTGTGTAATGTTGTCCTAGAGGTCTCTTAGGTTGTCTTCATTTCTTTTCATTCTTTTTTCTTTATTTGGTTCCACAGCAGAATTCCACCATTCTGTCTTCCAGGTCACTTTTCTGTTCTTCTGCCTCAGTTATTCTGCTGTTGACTCCTTGTAGTGTATTTTTCATTTCAGTTATTGTATTATTCATCTCTGTTCATTCTTCTAGATCTTTGTTAAACATTTCTTGCATCTTCTCGATCTTTGCCTCCCTTCTTTTTCTGAGGTCCTGTATCATCTTCACTATCATTATTCTGAATTCTTTTTCTGTTAGGTTGCCTATCTCTGCTTCATTTAGTTGTTTTTCTGGGTTTTTATCTTGTTCCTTCATCTGGTATATAGCCCTCTGCCTTTTCATCTTGTCTGTCTTTCTGTGAATGTGGTTTTTGTTCCACAGGCTGCAATATTGTAGTTCTTCTTGCTTCTGCTGTCTGCCCTCTGGTGGATGAGGCTATCTAAGAGGCTTGTGCGAGTTTCCTGATGGGAGGGACCAGTGGTGGGTAGAGCTGACTGTTACTCTGGTGGGCAGAGCTCAGTAAAACTTTAATCCACTTATTTGCTGATAGGTGGGGCTTGATTCCCTCCCTGTTGGTTGTTTGCCCTGAGGTGACCCAACACTGGAGCCTACCCAGCCTGGCTCTTTGGTGGGGCTAATGGTGGACTCTGGGAGGGCTCACGCCAAGGGGTACTTCCCAGAACTTCTGCTGCTGGTGTCCTTGTCCCTTGGTGAGCCACAGCTGCCCCGCACCTCTGCAGGAGACCCTCCAACACTACCAGGTAGGTCTGGTTTAGTCTCCTATGGGGTCACTGCTCCTTCCCCTGGGTCCCGATGTGCACACTACTTTGTTTGTGCCCTCCAAGAGTGGAGTCTCTGTTTCCCCCAGTCCTGCCTAAGTCCTGCAATCAAATCCTGCTAGCCTCCAAAGTCTGATTTTCTAGGAATTCCTCCTCCCTTTTCCGGACCCCCTGGTTTGGAAGCCTGACGTGGGGCTCAGAACCTTCACTCCAGTGGGTGGACTTCTGTGGTATAAGTGTTCTCCAGCCAGTTTGTGAGTCACCCACCCAGCAGTTATGGGATTTGATTTTATTGTGATTGCGCCCCTCCCACCGTCTCATTGTGGCTTCTCCTTTGTCTTTGGATGTTGGGTGTCTTTTTTGGTGAGTTCCAGTGTCTTCCTGTCGATGATTGTTCAGCAGTTAGTTGTGATTCTGGTGTTTTTGCAAGAGGGAGTGTGAGCACGTCCTTCTACTTCACCATCTTGAACCAATCTCCTGCGTTGGGTCTTTGTTGCTGCATTCAGGCTTTCTCTGGTTGCGGTGAGTCAGGGCTACTCTTCCTTGCGGTGTGCAGGCTTCTCATTGCGATGGTTTGTCTTGTTGCGGAGCATGGGCTCTAGGTGCACAGGCTTCAGTAGTTGCAGCACATGGGCTCAGTAGTTGTGGGGTGTGGGCTTCAGTAATTGTGGCTCGTGGGCTCAGTAGTTGTGGCTCGCGGGCTCTAGAGCACAGGCTCAGTAGTTGTGGTGCACGGGCCTAGCTGGTCCGCCGCATGTGGGATCTTCCCGGACCAGGGATCAAACCCGTGTCCCCTGAATTGGCAGGAGGATTCTTAACCACTGAGCCACCAGGGAAGTCCCAGCCACTGACTTTTTGAAGAATTTAGATTAGCTGCTTAGAGAATGTGCATTCTCTAGAACATTCTGGATTTTCTGAGTGTTTCCTCATGATATCATTTAACTCGTTCTCCTGTCACCTGAATTTTCTGTATAGAGGTGGTTGAGTCTGCAGGTATGATCAGAGGCAGATTGAAGAGTTTTGACAAGGTTGCTACTTCCTATAGATAGTGGTGTATATTCATGCTGTATCACAACTTGTGGTACGTGCCAGCCTGCTTCTCATTAATGATCCCAAGTTTGATTCCTTGGTTAAATTGGTGCTTCCCACATCTCCCCATTGTAAAGGCACATTTCCCCACTTGAGAGTCAGAGCTCACCCTCCTCAAAGTTGGCACGTTCATACTTAAATCTTTTGAGTACCCCGCTGGTTTCTGTACGTAGCCAACATTCATGTGCAGCCATGTCTGGAGAATAAGACTGAGGATCCAGTGGGAAATAGTTTCTTTGTTTGCTTAAGAACAGTGTTTGTTTAAGGTAAGACCAGTTTTTCTTGTCTGACTCAAAGGGTATTTCTGAAAGAGTAATTATGCAAATGTTTTTAATGAATGGATGGCCATTGTCATTAGTTCAACAATATTCATTTGTATGTATACTTCTGTTTTTTTTTAAAAGTTCTTTATAGTCATACTGTTTATTCATAATGTAGGCAAAAGCTCATTACCTGAGTACATGGGAAAATAAAAGAATACCTTTAGAAAATGAAATACTGCCTGAAGGTAGCTTCCTCCTCTCTTGAGCGCCTCGTGAATAATATATCTTGTTGGAATAGAATTTAGGGGAAAAGGATCACACTCTGTATATGAGTTTTCAAATTCCAAAGTCCACCGAACATTTATAAATGTCTGTTTGAGTTACCCAGGAGGCCCTTAGCACTCACTCACTGAGGAGGGACCCTCAGAACAGCAGTCTTTTCAAGTGTGGCAGTTTATATGTTCAGCTTTTTGATAAATTACCCTTTACCCCAAATTACCTTCCTTCTATGAATGTTATTGTGACTAAACCATGTGCTTCAAGGGAAGTGAGATATTTAGTATCAGATGAATACATACCCTTGGAACTTAAACTATAGAAGGAAAGACTTAATAAAAGGGTACTTCAGTAAGCATCATGTCAGAATCTCAGAATCACTGGTTTATGAGCTGTCCATTGTGTTCATGAAAAATTCACCCTGTTTACTTGTGAAGAGTCAGACTTCAAGGCCCTTGGCTAGTTAGCCAAATACCACAGTGTATGACAAGCTGCCATTATTTAGCTAGGGCATCAGTGTGTGGTGTGCCTGTGAGAGCTTTGAGCTCCGAAAAAGACATAATGCATCCTTAACTATCATGCTTTAAACAAAAGGAGGTTTAGAGGACCCCACTCTTAGCCTCTGCTTTCTTGTGGTTTCGGGATATTGCAGTGATATTTAAAAGATGTCTCTTTTTTCCCTTAATTTTTTATTGAAGTATATATAACATTTGTATTAAAAGGTACACAACAAATCATACATGTGTAAACTGAGTGAATTTTCAAAGTGTAACCATCATTCAGATCAAGAAATAGTGCACAACCAGTGTCTTAGAAGCTCCCCCTCATTCCTGCCTTCTCCTGGTTGTCCTTGTAGCTATTATCCTGACTTCTAACCCTGTGGATTAGTTTTGATCCCGCACCCATACACCACACAGAGCCTCTCAGCATTCGTGTGTGTGTGTTGACAGGTCTTCAGTGGGACTTTGATTATAAAACTCTGTATAACTAGTCGAACGAAGTTACTGATTCATCCAGGGGAATCTTTAACAAAAACCATCACCAAAAATATGCCCTTGGACCAAAATTGTGAACAAGAGAGAAACAAAGAGGGGAGAATCAGAACCATTTTGCTGGGGCCTCCCTGGTGGCGCAGTGGTTGGGGGTCCGCCTGCCGATGCAGGGGATACGGGTTCGTGCCCCGGTCCGGGAGGATCCCACATGCCGCGGAGCGGCTGGGCCCGTGAGCCATGGGCGCTGAGCTTGCACATCCGGCAACGGGAGAGGCCATGACAGTGAGAGGCGCACATATCGCAAAAAAAAAAAAAAAAAAAAAAAAAAGAACCATTTTGCTGGTAAAAGATTGCCTTTACAGCCATCCTCTTCTTGGTTTGGTATTCTGGGAAACATGGTCACGTTACCCCAACTAGGATGCCGTAGCAAGACTAATAAAGAATTGTCGAGTGTAAGTGATCACCAAGAATTCCTTATTTGTTTACGAAGAGAAGGGTGAGGCTTCTGATTTCCTGACCGCAGCAGAAGTGACAGCTGACAAGTCTGCTAGAAGGGTGTGCTATTGAAAAGCCATAAAAATCACATCCAAGAACTCAACAAGCTTTGGACCTGGGAACAAGCAGCCTTAGACTTTCAAAAGCCCCACAGACATCACTGTTCATTGAGTCATGCTCACAGCGATGATCTTGAGTCATTGTGAAATTACGTTCAGTGCACTCTCTGGAAAGAGAAGCATTGCTGTCAAAGAATGATTGGGAGCTTGGCTTTGGGGTCAGCTAGGATCAGCCCTGCATTTGGTACTTGTAGCTGTGTGACCCTGGGCAATTTACTTAACTTCATCTGTAAAATGGGGACAATAGTATTTTTTCCCAATAGCATTGTTGTGAGGATTACGTAGAATTCTGAGTGGCATTCCTTATAAGCTCTTTTGCTAGATGTTATTAATTTTTGATTGTGAAAAATTATTAGGTGGAACATCCTATTCTTTGGTTACAAATGGGATGTAACCTTTTAAAACATTTGAGATCTCCTGGGTAGAGCCTCTCTAAACACAAATAGTGCAAAAGATAGCTACTTTTATTGCTTGGAAGTAATAGAGACCTTTACACTTTGAAGCAGTTCATAGTAGAAAGTAAAATAAGTAGACAAAGACAGCCAAGCCAAGGAGACTAGTAAAAGCTCAAGAAGAGGCGCATATAATGGCTTATTCCTCCTTGAGTTTAACGTTGCTCTGTTACCTAAGTGTAACCGTACATCATCCAGATCCACAACTTCTCCTGTTCTGTTCCTCTCTCATTAGTGGGGTGCTGTGTCCCACTGACAGAAATGATGAATTGTCTCTATTTCTTCCTTCCTTGGTACTTATTTAGATGGCTGATTTACGAAGAGCCTGGATTTCAGGGTGTCCCTTTTATCCTGGAACCTGGTGAATACCCTGACTTATCCTTCTGGGATACAGAGGAGGCGTACATTGGATCCATGCGGCCTCTGAAAATGGTAAAGATGGAATCCAACGATGTGTTCTTAGAATCAGTAATTCTTTGCTTAACTTTGATAATTCATGGGATGTGACTTTAAAGCAATAAAGCAGACTTTTAAAAAACAAATATGTAGAAGATGGGACCTGTTGCTAGATAGAAATAATAGAAAGGTTAACCTGCTAGATGCTACAGATGAAAAAATGTGGATAAGCCTATGGCCTTGGCCTTCAAGGTGTTCTCGGCCTTGCAGAGCCGCTGAGGTGTGTGCAAAGCTCAGCCCAGAGCAGAAATGAGAAAGTGAAGAATTAAACCTTTGGGGAAGAACAGGAGGACGGCCAGATAAAGTCCAACTTGTATGTAGGTGTTAGAAAAGAGAAGGGGGATAATTAGGAGAGCTTCACTATAATTCAAGGGGGTCTTATAAACCAAGCAGGATTAGTTTAGCTGGAGGTTTCAGAGTACACTGCACGATCCAGGGCGGAGCTGGGCAAGGACGGGGCTTGCTGCGGACCAGCCAGTTGTAGTGACAGGAGGCCAGACGGGTGGCAGCTTTGGGGGCCCTGGAGCTGGATGTAGGAATGAGTGTTGTTCTCCAAAGCTTTTGCCTTAGAAAGGGCCTGTGCTTCCTTCCCCTGTATTTTGCCTTGTTCTTTGTCTGTTTCATCTGCAAGACTCTAAGCCTTGGGAGGATCCAGGCTGCAGCTCAACCCATGTTGAGCTGCATTGTAGTTGGTGCTCGCTAAAAACTTACCGCATGAGTGAGGCTCCTGTTACAAACGTGTTCTTGAAATTCCACTTCGTGATTGTCTTCTGAGGCAGTTTGAGACAAATTAGAAAGGCAGGAAGATAATTTTATCTTAATTTTACCCCTCCTGCCAAAGCTTGTAGTTTAATTACCTAGATGTCTGCTGGTCTTCATGCAAATAATGTTGGGCTTTTTTCTAAAGTTAAATCCATTTTCAAAGAACAAAGTTTTGTTAGTTTTATGAATGTATGAAAGAATCACCTCAGGTTTTGAAGCCAGGTTTTTTTTATACATCTTTATTGGAGTATAATTGCTTCACAATGTTGTTAGTTTCTGCCATACAACAAAATGAATCAGGTGTATGCACACACATATCCCCATATCCCCTCCCTCTTGAGCCTCCCTCCCACCCTCCCTATCCCTCCCCTCTAGGTGGTCACAAAGCACCGAGCTGATCTCCCCGTGCTATGCAGCAGCTTCCCACCAGCCATCCATTTTACATTTGGTAGTGTATATATATGTCAGTGCTACTCTCTAAGTTGGTCCCAGCTTACCCTTCCCCACTGTGTCCTCAAGTCCATTCTCAACGTCTGCATCTTTATTCCTGCCCTACCACTAGGATCATCAGTACCATTTTTCTAGATTCCATATATATGCGTTAGCATACGGTATTTGTTTTTCTTTCTGACTTACTTCACTCTGTATGACAGACTCTAGGTCCATCCACCTCACTACAAATAACTAAGTTTCGTTCCTTTTTATGGCTGAGTAATATTCCATTGTACATATGTGCCACATCCTCTTTATCCATTTGTCTGTCGATGGACATTTAGGTTGTTTCCATGTCCTGGCTATTGTAAATGGTGCTGCAGTGAACATTTGTGGTACATGTATCTTTTTTTTTTTTTAGTAAGTAAATTTTATTTTTTTTTGTACAGCAGGTTCTTATTAGTTATCTATTTTATACAAATTAGTGTATATATGTCAATCCCAATCTCCCAATTCATCCCACCACCACCACCCCATACTACATGTATCTTTCTGAGTTATGGTTTTCTCAGGGTACATGCCCAGTAGTGGGTTGATGGCAGTTTTTAATGATAAGCAGCAGAACTGTGAAGTTCACAGCATTCAAAAAGGATTACTTTTGAAAAGCGTACTTACTTGGCTGTATGAGCCCTGGTTTGTTGATAAAATCAGCCACATTCCTTTATAATTACGGTTCATTTGCTGTATTTGAGTATCTTTGGCTGTACTTTTTTTTAAGGCTTTTAAACATAGAGGTGAAAAATATCCTTCTTACTTTCCCATTGCTGATTTTAACTTTTACCCTATTTAATATTTGTATGAGATACCTCTTCTATGGTTGATTTTTAGTGAGATTTTTGGATTAAAAAAACATTTTTATTATAAAAATAGAGCAACCCCCATAGACCCATCCTTCGGGATGTTTTAAATTTATCTAACAGTTTACCTGGTTATTTCAAAAGTCCTTCAGATCATATTGTGAACTTGAGGGAACTCAACAGTTTTGTAAGCCAGCGGTTGCAAAATCAAATGCCTCCGGGGCCAGGCAGCAAATAGGCGTGAGTAGGCTGGCAGGGAGTTGAACTGCGGAAGAGGTGGAGACAGGCAAACCGCAGCCTGTATCCTGGCTGGAGGGTGAGCCCAATTAATAAGCGCAGATGGTGAAGGTTGCTGCCTGTGAGAATTTGGGTCCAGAGATGTCAGATTTTAGGACTCCTTTTTAAGGTAAGTGAGAAATATGCATTTTTTTTTGAGAAGTTTACTGAGTTAAAACAAAACAAAAAAAACCCCTAACACTCATTTGGTTAAAAAGCACAGCTACTGTACAGATTCAGCTTATAGACCGCCTCTGTGAGACTCTGCTTTAAGTCTTCCTATATCTTCCCTGCATTTTTGGTAATTTTAGAACTGTCTCAGCATTGATTAAACAAACAGGAATGTGGTTGCTCTGCAGTTCCATGGCTTACCGCAGACTGCTGTGGGTAATAGAAAATGGTAACGTATCAGTGACAAACCACTTTTCTTATTATTTTTCTTTTCAGGGTGGCCGTAAAGTTGAATTCCCTATAGATCCAAAGGTAATCTATATATTTAAAAAATTTTATTCCCGTTCCATCTCCACGAAGGTAATACTTGTGTGATTTTACATATCAGCTTCCATAAAACATAATTGCAGCCAAAGGAAGTTGTCCAACTTACACGGCATCCTTCAGGCCTGGAAGGTGATGCTGACGGCACCAGTTGTCACTAACAGTATGCGTAGCCGTGGCTCAAAGCGTTCGCTGTTGTATTAAGTTTGTAGTTTGTGGTTGTATTTACTAACTGCAGGACCTGTTGCTACTTGCCAGTTAGCAAGGAAAAACCTCACTTTTCGAGACAAGTTCTCCCTACTCCCTAATGCTCTTTCTGTTAGTTCTACTTCACACATCTGTGACACATAGTTTGATCTATAGTTTGTTTCATTTTTAAAGCAACTTAGAATACTTTGGTTCCTTTAGTTTGGCCTGAGCAAAATTCTACATATCAGTTCTAGACATGAACAAAAACCAATTATGCATAAACTGTCTTTTGAACCTTGACTTCAGGCTACACCACAGCAGAAAAAAAATTCTCATTTTTAAAATTACATTTCATGGGGCTTCCCTGGTAGCGCAGTGGTTAAGAATCTGCCTGCCAAGGCAGGGGACACGGGTTCAAGCCCTGGTCAGGGAAGATCCCACGTGCCGTGGAGCAACTAAGCCCGTGCGCCGCAACTACTGAGCCCGCATGCCACAACTACTGAAGCCCGTGCACCTAGAGCCCATGCTCCACAACAAAGAGTTGCCCCCGCTCGCTGCAACTAAAGAAAGCCTGTGCACGGCCAACGAAGACCTAATGCAGCCAAGAATAAATGAATAAATTTATAAAAAAATTACAAGATACTGTTATTTAGTTAATTTTTAAAATATTAGAACATTTTAATTTGTGTTCCAGGACTTAGTGATGTTAAGTGACTAATTTAATGTTTGGCTATTGAGATATTTAACTTTCAACAAATTACTAGCATATCTCATTTATGTTATAGGTAGTTATTTATGAAAAGCCTTTCTTTGAAGGAAAATGTATGGAACTAGAAAAAGAGGTGTGTAATTTTATCATGGAAGGAGGTGAAACAACTGGAAATGAACATTTGCCCCTTACATCAGTGGGATCTATGAAAGTTCTAAGAGGCATGTAAGTAGACAGGAGTGACCTGTAAGGATTTCTTTTTATTCCCTTTAATAAAGTAAAAAAACATGTTCTCTCTCTCCCAAAGATAGCATTCCAGATTGTATGGTAGAGTGAATTTCAAACATGTTTTCTTCAGCTAGTTGTGACCTGAATCTGACACAGCAGTTTGATGGGCTGCTTTGGGGTCAGTCAGCTGAGCAAGGCTGTCCCATCTAGATTGATCAAATCTACAATCTTGTTTATTACTATTATGATCCAAACTATTGAACTGTTAGTTTGCTTTCTATTTTTTAGGCTCATATTTTGCACTTTATAGACATTAACATATTTCCTTTAGAATTGTACACTGAAAATGGCTTGTAAATAGCCCAAAATATACAATATTTTAATTACTGTTGGAAGAAAGTTCATTCAGTTTTATTTGCTGAAGTTCTTTTGAGTCAGTTCTTAAACATACACATTCAGACACACATGTACGCATGCACACTTACCCCACCATACTCCTTTTCGGAACGTTGGTGTATGCTTCTTAGGTTGATTTCTTGGGGCCATTCTGTTAGTCTCTTAAATGCTAGGGAAGCATTCCAGTAGTCATAATGCATGAGTATGTGTCTAGCTTTATAGCTATTTATATTTGTCAATGAAACTGATACTTTAATAACACTACTGAAAATTTCTACTCCTTCATGTTCTTTTGTTGTAGTTGGGTTGCTTATGAGAAGCCTGGCTTTACTGGTCATCAGTATTTGCTTGAAGAAGGAGAATATAAGGACTGGAATGACTGGGGAGGCTACAGTGGAGAACTTCAGTCTTTACGACCTGTATTAGGTGTAAGTCAAAGAAAAGCTAATGGCTAATACTTGGGCGTTTTGGGATAATAAACGGCTAGCCTTTGAATTTTGAATTTTTTTTCTCAATAGGATTTTTCAAATGCTCACATGATAATGTACAATGAAAAAAACTTTGGATCCAAAGGTTCCAGTATTGATGTGTTAGGAATTGTTGCTAATTTAAAGGAGACTGGATACGGAGTGAAGACACAGTCTGTTAACGTACTGAGTGGAGTGTAAGTGCAATAACTCAATTGGGATTTTAAATATGGGTTTCACTTTGGTTTGTGTTAAAGTAATGGAGTCTCTGACCCAGAGTAGCACTCGATAAGTACGTATCTCAAAAACTAAAACATTAAGTCAGCCATTTAATACTTACTGACACTATATTTTAATAGCTGCTTTTTAAAATCTTTCTCATATAGTATTTTTTTTTTATGTGTAATATAACATTGGAGCAGGGTTTTGAGTTTCGTGATAGAAATCTGCAGATCCACTTCCCTTGTCATTCTTCGTGGAAAGAGCTCATGAATTTCTTATGCTGGGAAACAAATAATAATAGTGATCTAACATTAGAAACCTGAGGTTGGGACAAAGTCCCATTTGATTTTCCTATGGTCCTACACCTGCTCCATTATATTTTCTCACTTTCATGTATAATGTACAGCAGAGTTAATTATATTAATCATATTCTAGATTATATCCCCAGTATTTATCTTATAACTGGAAGTTTGTACCTTTTGACCCCCTTCCTCCAACTCCCCCTCCCCGCTGACTCCCACCTCTGGTAACCACAAATTTGATCTCTTTTTCTATGAGTTTGTTTGTTTGTTAAGTATAATTGGACTTTCAACAGCATGTTAGTTTGTGGTATGCAGCATAGTGATTCAATATTTCTATGCATTTCAAAATGATCACCATGATAAGTCTAGTTACCTCCTGTCACCATACAAAGATATAGCATAATTATTGATAATATTCCTCATGCTGTACATTTCACTCCCGTGACTCATTTATTTTGTAACTGGAAGTTTGTACCTCTTAATTTCCCTCACCTATTTTACTAAGCCTCCCACACCCCTCCACTCTGGCAACCACCTGTTCTCTGTATCTGTGACTGTTTCCTGTTTTGTTATGTTTGTTCATTTGTTTTTTAGATTCCACATATAAATGAAATCGTATGGTGTTTGTCTTTGTCTGACTTATTTCACTTAGCATAATACTCTCTAGGCCCACCCATGTTGTCGCAAATGGCAAAATTTCATTCTTTTTCATGGCTAATATAATTTTTATATATATATATAGACACACACCACATCTAGCTATCCATGTAGATAAATAGGTTGCTTCCATATCGTGGCTATTGTGAATAATGCTGCAGTGAACATAGAGGTGCACATATCCTTTTGAATTAGTATTTTTGTTTTTTGGTGGGTTTTTTTTTTTTTTTTTTTGGTACGCGGGCCTCTCACTGCTGTGGCCTCTCCCGTTGCGGAGCACAGGCTCCGGACGCGTAGGCTCAGCGGCCATGCCTCACGGGCCCAGCTGCTCTGCGGCATGTGGGATCTTCCCAGACCGGGGCACGAACCCGTGTCCCCTGCATCGGCAGGCGGACTCTCAACCACTGCGCCACCAGGGAAGCCCTTGGTGGGTTGTTTTTTGGAAAAATACCCAGAAGTGAAATTGCTGGATTGTATAGTAGTTCTATTTTTAATGTTTTGAGGAACCTCCATACTGTTTTCCACAGTGTCTACACCAATTTACATTCCCACCCAGTTCACAAGGATTACCTTTTCTCTACATCCTCACCAACAGTTGTTGTTTGTTGCCTTTTTGATAATAGCCATTCTGACAGGTGTGAGGCAATATCTCATTGTGGTTTTGATTTGCATTATCCTGATGATTAGTTATATTGAGCATCTATCTTTTCATGTGCCTCTTGGCCATACGTAGGTCATTTTTGGAAAAATGTCTCTTTAGGTCCTCTGCCCATTTTGTAATTGGGTTGCTTGCTTTTTTTTTTTTTTTTGCGGTATGCGGGCCTCTCACTGCTGTGGCTTCTCCTGTTGCGGAGCACAGGCTCTGGACACACAGGCTCAGTGGCCATGGCTCACAGGCCCAGCCACTCCGCGGCATGTGGGATCCTCCCGGACTAGGGCACGAACCTGTGTCCCCTGCAACGGCAGGCAGACTCTCAACCACTAAGCCCCTGTTGCTTGCTTTTTTGATGTTGGGTTGTATGAGTCCTTTGTATATGTGGGTTATTAACCCCTTACCAGATACATTGTTTGCAAATATCTTTTCCCATTCAGTAGGCAGCCTTTTCGTTTGGTTGATAGTTTGGTTGATAGTTTTCTTTGTTGTGCAATAGCTTTGTAGTTTGATGTGGTCCCTTTTGTTTATTTTTGTTCTTATTTCCCTTGCCTGAGGAGACACATCCAAAAAAATATTGCTAAGACTGATGTCAAAGAGCCTACTGCCTGTGTTTTCTTCTGGGAGGTTTATGGTTTCAGGTCTTCCGTGTAAGTCTTTAATGCATTTTGGGTTTTTTTTTTTAATATGGTGTGAGAAAGTAGTCCAATTTGATTCTTTTGCATGTAGCTGTTGAGTTTTCCCAAAATGATTTATTGAAGAATCTGTCTTCCCCTTTGTATATTCTTGTCTCCTCTGTCGTAGACTAATTGACCATGTAGGTGGGTTCATTTCTGGGCTTTATGTTATTTTAATATAAAAATAATTGTTTCAGTGTACCTGGAATTAGCAGTTGAATGTTTTACTAATGCTAAAGTAAGTTTTTATTGAAAGATGATTAGTCAAGACTCTTTGGGATGCAAGTGACTGCAGGTCAGTCTAAACTGGCATAAATGATAAAAATGCAATATATTGATGTGCATAACTGAAAAGTCCTGGGAGAGATTTTGCTTGCGTCACGGCTAACGCAGGGATTCAGACACTGTCATTAGGACTTGGTCTCTCTCTGTCTCTTGACCGTGCTTTCATTAGGACTTGGTCTCCCTCTGTCTCTTGACCGCACTTTTGCTATGCTGGCTGCGCTTTAGGCAGGTACTTTTGTTGCCGAGGTGAAGCTCCTACTGCTCGCCACACAACAGGCCAATAAATCGAGAGATGAGGTTTTGGAACAAGGAATAGCAACTTTATTTGAAAAGCCAGGAGACTGAGAAGGTGGCAGACTAGTGTCCAAAAGAGCCATCTTGCTGGGGTTTGGATGCTAGTTTCTTTTATAGAACAAACAGGGGGAGGTGAGGAGGTAAGTAAAAAAGGTGATACATTGTTGCAAATACTTCTTGGTTCTGACCAGCCTCCCCAGAGGATGTGCTAATTTCTTATCTCCTGCAGCCAGGTGGACCTGGTGGGGATGTTCCCTGTGAACTCAAACAAAAGTATTTTAGCTTAACACTTGGGCATGGGAGGCAGGATTCCCAGAGGTGGGCTGTTTTGTTTACTTTAAGCTATGGCAACATCCCTTTAGGGATTAATTTGCAATAAGGTTAAAGTAAAGAAAAGGATCCAGTGTGGAGTCAGATTTGTTCTTCCCTGTTCTGCTTTCTATCTGGGACCTGTGGCAGGAGCATCTTGCTTTTGTTCTCAAATCTCACTGCTTCTAGTGGAAAGCTTCTCTTTTCTACAGAATTTCCAGGTTTGACTTTGATTCTGTATGCTTAAGTCATGTGCACCTGTCTGAACCAACTACTGTAACCAAGGAGATGGCTGTGCCTGTGTTACATGCCCAGCCCTGCAGCTGAGATATAGGGTCAGTCCCATGGGGAGTACTAGTGTATATAGGGCTGAGGAGTTCCCCAGGCGCATCAGAAAGAGTGGGTACAGATACTGGATTGGCAAAAGCAGACGTCTGTTAAAGTGAGTTATACTATTATTTTTCTGTTAAAGTGAGTTGTACTATTATTTTTATGGTCCAGGCTGATGTCAGTTATAATTTGTTTTAAGTGAGAGTATTCTTAAATGGTCATATGAAATCATTTGACACTGATTCTGTTTAAAATGTTTGGTGTTAGGCTCTTACGCTATGAGTAACATAGACTATGCGTCATTCTGACCTCAACTCTACTGTATTTCAAGGGGCTTCCCACAATAGCCCCGGATATTTGAGATGTGTCTACAATGTAATATGCTTTTAGTGTTAGTCATGTTCACTAAATTCTTGTGTTGGTTGCACCATCTTGACAGAATGACTTCAGTGACTTCTAGGGCTTCCATTCTTAGCAGGAAATGCCTTCTCCTGGGTCCTGTTCTGGAACCCTAACATATTAGAATCTGCCATAGACAAAAGGTATGATACGGCATTCAGAAATTATCTGAAATATTGCTGTGGCTCTATAGTATTTTTGATTGCCTTTAAAAAGGAACTATTTAGAGGGAAAATACAATGACCAACTCAATGTGGGGAAACGGTTGCACATTTTCATACTCACCAGGTGTGTTGGTTTCATTAGTCAGAGCCCAGTCATGTACCCTAGCAGAGAAAGCAAAAGGATGCTGGGTGGAATTCCCTTAGGGCATTTATGTAGATTATGCTGTTAGCACCTGTAGAATTACTGTGCCTGGAGCCAGTCTCTCTTTTTTAACCAGCCCTTATTTACTTAAAATCCCTTTCCTTTTTAAAATGTTGCTTTTATATGTTTCTATTTTTAGTTATTTCTGGTTACATTTCCTGGCTTAGGCTTTTTTTTTTTTTTTTTTTTTTTGTTGCTGTACATGGGCCTCTCACTGTCGCGGCCTCTCCCATGGCGGAGCACAGGCTCCGGACGCACAGGCTCAGCGGCCATGGCTCACGGGCCCCGCCCCTCCCCGGCACGGTTTTCTTTTATATGTTTTTTTTTTTAGTTTTTTCTGGTTACATTTCCTGGCTTTGGTTTTTTTTTTTTTTTTTTTTGGTTGTAGCAGTTGAGTTTTGTTGCTGGGAGGAAGTTGAAAGGAGGCATGCGCGTGCGCGCACACACACGCACAACTTCCTTTTAAATTCTGTGGTTGTAGAAGCGCTTCTGTACTTAGCAGGGCCAGCTGCTTCCTCATATTTCATTCAGTTGATCGTTTGTAAATATTTATTGAGGTCTATTATGTGCAAAACATTGTATTATATCCTCAAAGAAGTTACAGTATTTATACGAAGCCTAATTATTGCTACAGAATGTGCAAAGATTAAGTGCTTTGGGGATCCACCTCAGAGAGAGATTAATTTCCAGTTTGGACCCAGGGAAGACTTTGGAGGAGGTAGCATTGGAGTTCAGCCCTGCAGGATAGGAAGGTTGAGATGCACCACTATCACATGCGTAATAAATTCCCTGGGTGGTAAACTCATTATTAGCTCTGAAACCGAGAACAGCCTTCGGGAAGCATCCTCACAAATTCAGCAAATGAGGTTTTAGGAACCGCATTTTGTTTCTTGTTGAAACATCAAAGGAGATGCCTTTACACATCCCTCCTAATCATTTTCTAGTTCTCTGCTGTCCTCTTGTTCAAATAGTGGAAACTGGGCTAATTTTTTAAAAACTCAGAGCAAAATGAAATATTTCTAGAGTCCAGATTTTTTTAAAAAGTGTTGGTTTTGAGTTTTTTCCTTTTCCCTCCACAGAAGGGCAAGTTTGCCCTGCTGCCCTTAAATTCTGACCAGTGACCCCAGCAGGCTAAGACCTGTTTGTACTTATACTTGGCAATCTTATAGACAGAGAAGTGTTGATTCACATGTACGGAATATGCTTAAGCAAGGACAGGAAGGAGTTTTTTTCTTACGAGTTTCAGGTATAAGTTATAAGTAGACTCTAGATCATAGATATACCAGAGAATCTCAGAAATGAATTTTGGATTGGGGGCTGCATCTTGGAGGGAAAACAACACTATTGTCAGTTCAAGTGACATTTTAATAAATGGTTTTCCTTTTTCAACTTCAGTGGGTTAGATAGGCATACTTGGGTGTTGAGTATTTTCTTACAGGTAATTTATTTTAGTTTTATAGGGAAATACAGTACTCACAGTTGTTGTTTTTTTTTTTTTTTTTAAAGCACTGGCTAAAGTGTCATCCAAGGTTTGCTCAGTTGTCACCTTCTCTCCTGCATATTCAGTCTTTCCCTCCTCACTGGCTGTTTTCCCTCCAAACCTTAAAATCAAACAATCAAGCAAAAAGGACTTTACCCCCTCTGTTTCCCTCTAACTTGCTATAGACCCAGAGCCTTGCCAGGAATACTTTTTTGTGATATGTCTTATCCTCTTTAATTTTTTTTTTTAGGTCTTGGCTTTTGTAAAGTAGATTTACTTGCTCTGCAGAAATTCCTCCCCACATAGCAGTGTTCTGGGCTTCCGCTTTGTTTTCTCTTCATGACTCGTGATAAGCCAAAGGCTGTGTGAACAGAGGCCACACACAGAGGCACCTGTGAGCTGTACAGCCTCCCACCCTGTCAAGACTGGGATCTTGGTCAATGCCCTTACTTAAAAATGAAAATACGGACTTTGACAAAGGTTAAATGACCTCTTTAAAGTTATCTGAAAGTTAATGTCATGAGCACACCTAGAACCAGGCCTCCTAATTCCTCACTTCACAATGTTGAAGAATAGGATTTTAAAGTTGCTTATGAGGTTCTGAAGTGGGAAAGCGGCATTTTCTGAAATAGACTGTGATTGGTGCTTATAGCAGTTTCTCCATTTAGCTGGCCAGAAATGAGTCCACAGATATTAGCTGTCATAGCTAATCATCACTTGAGATTTCTTGATGGCTGCTCATTTCCAAGTAATAACTGCACTTGAGTTTTTAAGTCAAGCCCTTTAGATAGTAAAATTGTAATCTGTTCTAATTGTGAAGCATGTGGGCTGTTTAAGGTATGGCTTAATGGAATGGTAAATGAAAAAACTACAAGGGTAGGTGGCAGTTCAGGTCACGAGGTGAGGAGACCTGGTGAGCCTCAGGAGACTTGGTCAAGGGTTCATTCATCCCTGGCCACTAACTGACAGGTCACTTCCCATTCAGAACAAACACCAACAAATAATACCATGTGATGCTTCTTACCCATCTCTGAACTTTCGAGGGCAAGGATTTTGTCTTTTTTTTCATCTTGCATTCCTAGTGCCAGTCTAGTTCCCAGCACATGGTAAACGGCCAGTTTGTTGAATGAATAAATGAATTACTTTTTCTGTGTCTTTAGGTTTTCTTTTCAGTAAAATGTGAAAACCAGTACCTGCCTGTTACCGAGTCCAAGCGCATACTGCTCGCCGCACAACAGGCTAGTAAATCGAGAGACAAGGTGTTAGGGCAAGGAATAGTGACTTTATTTAGAAAGTCAGCAGACGGAGAAGATAGTGGGCTAGTGGCCCAAAGAACCATCCTCCCCGACTTAGAATTCAGGCTTCGTTTATACTAAAAGGCCAGGGGCTGTGGTAGGGTGTTGCCAACTTCTTGGTGCTGGAATCCTTTGTTCTTGCAGCTGTCCACGTAGGTTTGGTCATAGTGTTCCTAGAAACCTCCACAAGACAGTTGTTATTTTCTGTTCTGCAACTTGATTTATCTCTATGTGAATGGAAGTTTTACACTAAAGCTTTAAAGGTCAGAGCCTTGAGAATGGACCATCATGTATATTTCAGGCAGTAGGCAGCATTCCTTTACAAAGGTGCAGAGCCAGCATGACTGACCACAGGCAACAGAGCACAAAGGTTAGAGCTAAAGGAATAGATCTAGTACGGAGTCAGGTTTGTTATTCTGTGTTACATCCCTAAAAGATTGAATGTGATAATAGATGTGAATGCATTTTGGAAAGTTCTGAGCATACATATGGGCATAAAGGTATTATTCCTTTAAGCTGTGAGAGGATCAATATAGGGCAATGAATTAACAGAGGAGGAAACACTGAGTAACCCCTGAATGTAACAGAATTGAAAAACTCTTTTCCCTTCCAAGACTTTATCTTTGTATAAGAAGTAGCATCAGCAAGTCGGTTTTGTTGATTTTCCTGAGTGTGGATCATTTAAAAGATAACAAATATGAAAACATTCCAAAAGAGATTCATTCTTAGTGTTCTCAAGAGTTTGTTCAGTTTTGCTTATTACATAGTTGTGTCATGTTGGAAATCCTGATTGAATCAAAATTTTCATTATTTAGCTGTTTTATTATCTTTTTTTCTTAAGCATTTTTTTATGTCAGCTTTTTTTTTTCCAGTGTGGTTTGTTGTGGAATAGAGACATAGCTTCCTGTAGTATCTTTCTGGAAAAATGCTTTAATATTGATAACAAAAAGAATTCTTACTTGTTTATTAAAAGAACTTTTACGGCTACTTCTTTAAAGTCCAGATTGTTTCCTTAGAATAGAATTAGAAAGAAATATAGAGAAATGGGCTTATTGGAGTTTTCTCAGGGAATAAGATTTGATAAGCGAGAACACCAAAAGGTTCATGTAAAGATACTCTTTCACTTGCCACTTTGATTTGTCCTACAGACAAATCTGCTCCTAAAAGATTAATGGAAAACCAGAAAAATTATTCAGATTACTTATGAGTAAAACAAATGAAAGTTGCTATACAATGTATATTTATCCAAATGGGTGTGATAGTTTTGTTTTATTTTTTAATTTTTTAAAATTTATTTATTTATTTATGGCTGTGTTGGGTCTTCGTTTCTGTGCGAGGGCTTTCTCTAGTTGTGGCAAGCGGGGGCCACTCTTCGTCGCCGTGCACGGGCCTCTCACTATCGCTGCCTCTCTTGTTCTCTGTGGAACACAGGCTCCAGACGCGCAGGCTCAGTAATTGTGGCTCACGGGCCCAGTTGCTCTGCGGCATGTGGGATCTTCCCGGACCAGGGCTCGAACCCGTGTCCCCTGCATTGGCAGGCAGATTCTCAACCACTGCGCCACCAGGGAAGCCCTGGGTGTGATAGTTTTATTGTAAATGTAAACTATGAACTATAACAAGTCAGTGTTTTTTGTTTCTTTAGATGGGTAGCCTATGAAAATCCTGACTTCACAGGAGAACAGTATGTACTGGATAAAGGCTTTTATACCAGCTTTGAGGACTGGGGAGCCAAAAATTGTAAGATCTCTTCTGTTCAACCCATATGTTTGGTAAGCAGTTACATTTTTCTCTGAGAATATTTAACTGAATTTTGGATTCCCTTAATGTGTGCTTCTGGTTCATGTAATACTTAACTATAGAAACTATCCTGAGATTATTTTTAATGGTAATTGTTAATGATCCACAGAAAAAATTTTCAAGATGTCTGCCCTACTCATTTCCTTTTCTCTTCCCTTTAAAAATTCTTAGGATTCTTTCAGCAGCCCAGGGAGACAAAATCAGGTAACTTAACAAACATTCTATCATTCATAATTAGAAACCTTCCGTTAAAAAGCTGAATTTATGTGTAAAACATCATACATTTGGGAACATATTGTTAGTTTTACCCATTTTTGTGCCTGAAAGCATAACTATATTTTAAAATTAAGTTTACAGTAAGGCTTAATTGATAGCACTGACCCATATCTAAATATTTCTTATAAAGTGTTCTTATGTAAAGTTAAATTTTTATATCATTACAGTGGATCAGAGTTTTACATTAATACACTAGGATTAGTATTTCAAACAATAGCGTATAGTTATTGTGGAAAACAGTAAAATGAATTTTCGTATTTGCTGTGTCTGCATTAGGCTTTTTACATAGTGTCTTTTATATGGTGTCTAACTTAAGCCTTTTGAATGCTGACTCTGTATCAACTGAAGTGTTAAATTTGTTAAAGACGTTTTAATGGAAGTGTTCAGAGAGCCATAATTACAGAGGCACAAACACCACTGTAGCCTCCTTTATTGGCATACAAAAGAGTCTAATAAGTCAGCAGGTAGCTTCCATTGAGAGGGAGGAAAACTGCACTACATGTTTCCAAAATATAGTTTCTTGTAAATGTTAGAACTGTGAACAATTACTTTTGGCCACAGTAAAGCTTTAAAATGCCTGGCAGCTTGTTACAAGAGGGTGTTCTGTAGAAAGCTGCCTCTGTTGTTGGACTATCCTTTGATGTCTCTGAATGAAATTAAACAATCACGAATGGTGCAGCCAAAGTATTTCTAATTGATGTAGAAGTAAAAAATTAAAGGTTTTATAAAATTCATACCAGTTTACGGTAACAAAAGTTAGCAGGTCATGTTTGGTTATCATCTCAGAGGCTGAATGAGTTAATGTGTTCAGGAAAAGAATTTTATGTATTTCCGTTTACTTTTTCAAAGATTCACTTGTTTTCGGAACCACAGTTTCAAGGTCGCAGTCAGTGTTTTGAAGAAACAACAAGTCAAATTGATGAGTCATTTTCTGCCAAGTCTTGCAGAGTTTTAGGAGGCAGGTAAGCAAAACAGTGGACTGGCAGAGCCCAACCCGTGGGGGAAAACAGGATTCACATATCGGCAAGTAAATATACTTGTAGGAGCTTGGTACCTTATGAGACCACCACATAGTACAAGACCATGTGAGTACTGAAGTGGACTTTAGAGCACTGAGTGCTGGGTGTCAGAGGACATGGACATCAGTGTGGGTGGGAGAAGTTGAAGATCACCACCTCGTTGTGCAATGAGACTCGGACCAGGTTCTCTGCTCTCTAGGCCTCTCCCGTCATCTGTAAAGGAACTTTAGATCATCTCTAAGGCACCTCCCAAGATAGATTTTTTTTTTACAGGTGGGTAGGAGTAGGGCAGGCATTCTGCATGAGAGGCAAGTGCATGGTTGGGGTGGAGATGCTGATGAGGGGCACACCACCCTCTCTAGCTGGGAGGTCTTTGTACTGCGGGGAGGGGAGGGGAGTTTGGACAGGGAGGGTGGGCTCAGGTGATGACTCTTCTGAGCATATGAATTTAGATGGATGCCAAAGGAAAACACAAGATGGGCAAGGCAAGGAGCTCAAAGTCGGGGAAACGGATCAGGACACCCTTGGAGCAATCTGTGCAAAAGATGATGAATTAAGTTGAATAATAATAAGTAGTAGTAGCAGTAGTAGTAGTAATGCCTTTAATCATATAGTTCTTCATGGTCTAAACAGCACCATCATGCCATTTGGCAATGCAAAGTGGAAAGAGCACCGACTTTGCGTTCAAATGCATAGATTTATATGAAAGCTTCACTGTTTATTAGCACATACCTGCACCTCTGTCCTAGTTTCTCTTTGTCCCATATGCTGCTGCATTTATTACTACCAGGCGTGTACTTTTTTGTTATTCATTTATTGTCCGTCTCAGCTCACTAGGGTATAAATTTCAAGATACCAGGGACTTTGTCTTGTTATATCCCCAGCAATGGAAAAATACCTGACACACAGTTATTCCTCAATAAGTGTGTGTTGGGTTAAACAAAAACAAAACAAAAAGACCCCCCAACTCCCCTAGGGAAGCGTGATAAATCACCATTTTGTCAATAATGCTGAGTGCTAGAGAGACTAAGTGACTTGACTAAGTCACTGTGGTATCTTGACTCCTGGCCCAGTGCGGAGGTGTTGGAAATGAGGATAAAGGGGTGAGGGAGAAATCTGGGGAGGAAACAGTAGACCCAGGTGACTGACTAGCTATGAAGGTTGAAGGAGTATTCAGAAAAGACTCGAAGACTCAAGGGCTTGACAGAACCACCTTGGCTGGGGGAATGGTGGCACCATGAGAGGTGCAAGGAATGCTGGTAGGTGGAGAGGTGAAAGCATTAATCATTTCATGGAGAAAAAAGTTGTATTTCCCAAATGACTTATGAATATTAACTTGCCACAAGATGAAATGCAGTAAATATATCCAGACATTTTTGCAGAGAGAACACTGTTAGCCATAAGCATGTGTTTATTGTATGGCAGCTACCTCTAAAAATCAGACTTGTTGACTAGGAAGACTCAAATTACATTTTATACATGTGTGTGTGGTTTTTCCTCTATAGCTGGGTTGCATATGACGGAGAAAATTTCTCGGGTAATCAGTACGTGTTGGAGGAAGGCCACTATCCTTCACTGTCTGCAATGGGATGCCTGCCTGAAGCAACTTTCAAGTCTGTTCGTTTTATAGATGTCGTAAGTATCTCAGGGTGAATATAACATTACAGAGATGTATGGTCACACAGCTGACAGAGCAAGGGAACCAGCAGGTAGGCTTACTCAGGACAAAGTTGGAGGCAGAAAAAATAGTTTCGTGGACAACTTTCTACCCTGGTCTCTTTCCAGATCTTTAAAATGTAAACTGTTTGCTGTTTTCTCAGACTTCAGGGGCAGTGTTGGGTCAGTCATGGTGCACAGTGCACAATCATGGGCTAGTTCAAGGCCCTTCCGTCTTGTTTTCTTCCGTTTCACACCTGAGCCCTATTTCTTTTTTTTTTGAAGATTGATTTATTTATTATTTATTTATTTATTTATGGCTGCATCGGGTCTTAGTTGCAGGATCTTTATTGAGGCATGCGGGATCTTTTGTTGTGGCGCGCAGGCTCCAGGGCGCGTGGGCTCTGTAGTTTGTGGCACTCGGGCTCTCTCATTGAGGCACCTGAGCTCAGTAGTTGCAGGGCGCTGGCTTAGCTGCCCCGCGCCATGTGGGATCTTAGTTCCCTGACCAGGGATTGACCCCGTGTCCCCTGCATTGTAAGGCAGATTCTTTACCACTGGACCACCAAGGAAGTCCCCCTGAGCCCTATTTCTATACCTCTACCTTTAGAGGTACCCATTCTAATGTGTTTGGAGTACAGCTTGGATATTCCTATAAAATATGTTTTTAAAAATATGTATACAGCCTTTTAATTTATATACAGTGTTATGCTATAGTTCTCATCATGTTATAAAAACTCTCCTTACATTAAATTTTGGGGGAGCCATCCATTATGCTGTATGTACAGCTAGTTATTGATTCTAATGGGTGCACATGATGTAATATGTAGATCCAATATGTAATCATTAAGTAGATGTACATACAGCATAATGGATTACCCTGGGATCTTTTGGGGATATGTATTAAAAAGTGGATTGGGACTTCCCTGGTGGCACAGTGGTTAAGAATCTGCCTGCCAGTGCAGGGGACACGGGTTCGAGCCCTGGTCCAGGAAGATCCCACATGCCGCAGAGCAACTAAGCCCATGCACCACGACTACTAAGCCTGCGCTCTAGAGCCCGCGAGCCGCAACTGCTGAAGCCCGCGCGCCTAGAGCCTGTGCTCTGCAACAAGAGAAGCCATCACAATGAGAAGCCCGCACACCACAATGAAGAGTGGCCCCCACTCGCCGCAACTAGAGAAAGCCTGTGGGCAGCAACGAAGACCCAATGCAGCCAAAAACAAACAAAGAGTGGATTTACTGGATCTCACATGCATGAATATGCAACCTTCAGTAAGTACTGCCGAATTCCACCACTTTACACTGTGGCTGGCAGTGCATGTGGATTCCAGTTTTCAGCATCATGGCCATTGTTGAGTATTCTCTGACATTCTAACTTTTGTCAGTTTGAAAGAATGGGGTAGAAGTTGTGTTAGTTTGCATTTCACTGTTGGTGAGATCTCATATACTTGCTAGTCATTTGGGTTTTCTGTTCAGTGAATTTGCCTATTTATATCCTTTGCCCAGCTCTTTAGTTTCCCGTCATTGTTGTTATTGATTCGCAGAAATTCCTTATAGTTTTTAAATCTATTCCTCTGTTGTTTTAGAGATTTGCAATGAAATGACTTTTCTCAGTTTCTCACGTATGTGCCAATCCAGATTATAGTGCTCCTTTTTGACCAGAAATCTTTAATTTTAATGTAAAGCAATATTCAATAGAACAGTACTGCAAGATAATGTTCAGATGTTAAAGTCTGGGTGTATCTGACAGTTTGGGAAGTATCTGTTAGTTCTTGGTAGCTGATATCTCATAAAAAGCTTTAAACATATGTAGTTGGTGATTTTAGCTTTAAAGGTAGAAGGAACATATGTGAGTTGGCTTTTTCTCATCCCCTCCTGCCCGTTCAAATAACGAAAATGTTGACCTTCCTTGAGATGTGAAAATAGTAGCAGTGAAACATAAAACGATGTGGTAAGATTCATTACCTTACAAATAATAAAATATCTAAAAATTTGATATTTAACCCGCTTGGAATTCTAAAAGCAAGCTACAAGTATTTAAAAAAGAAAAACAAAAAACCCACTTTAGATTTAAAGCTTTCAAATGCCTTCCTTCAAGCAGAACTTAGCATATATGCTCACATCACTTTTGACATTTACAGATGATGTTCTTTTAAGTTTTGATTATGATGAAATGAATATTTTACCCATATTAAGAATGTATATTTTAATTGTGGCTTAGCACTTCAAAATCGTTTGGTTGTTGTCGCTAGATTAGAGTGCTTGGAACGTTTTGGCATATATGCCGTCTCAGAGAACAGTGCGGTGAAAGTGCAGAGCAGTGACACTACTACAGTTTCTGTCATTTCCTTCTTGTATGGTTTATATAACCTAATCTCTAGACCATACAGAACACCTCTACACACTGATCTGCTCTGTTTATTGGTCAAGATCTTTCTACACATCAGAGCACATCCACATAAGGGAAGCAGTAAGGTGTCACACCGTTGCCACAAAACTTTAAGCAAGTTAGGGAATTTTTCATGTATCATTTATGATTTTAGGATTATTATCATTAGAGCTTAGTCTAGGGTCAGAAGGGTCTGTAATTTGAAAAACAAGCATAAGCTGCCAACTTTTCATTTTTCTGAAAATCAGTGGACTTGAACTTGGGGCTTCCATCCTGTTTTTTCTCTCCTAACAATTATTCCTACAGGAAAGTTTGGGAATACGCAGAATCATTGTCTTATTGACAGTTAAAAACAACAACACAAAGACATCTGAAAATGCATACAAGGGGAAGCTTCCTTTATCAGGCAGATTACCACTAGACCCCCAAAGATCAACGCAGCCCCCGACCCTCGCCATTTATGTCCTTGACTTTCCAGCCCCTTCTTATCTCAATAGAAAACAGAAAAGTTGAAAATAAATTCCATTAGAATTGATATTCCAGGCATATATACCTGTTCCTTTATGCCTGGGATATTTTCCCCGTTTTATAATACTTTACATTTACCTGCCTTTCTATGTAAGGGAAAAACTCTCTGCCCTCCGTCCTTCCTTGCTTTAGCTTTGGAGTGTAGAACCACCCAGACTCTCTGGAAAAGGGAGTTTATGAGCAGGCCAAGTCCGGCCAGATCTTCTGCTTTGTCCTTGTAACAAGACGATTTTCATGTTAAGTTCGAATTACTATCAAGGATGAGTAACAGAACATTATTTTTGTCCCTAAACAGGAATTTTCTGAACCAACAATTATTCTTTTTGAAAGAGAAGACTTCAAAGGAAAAAAGATTGAATTTAGTACAGAAATAGTTAATCTCCAATCCCTAGGATTCAACACGCACATACGCTCTGTTCAGGTGACTGGTGGCATGTAAGTGAGTTACCTACTTGTTTATTCAATAAAATAGATTTTAAAAATTAAGTTTGATCGTATTTCTCTTCTCTGTTACCTTAACCAAATTGACGTATAACCCCTTTTTTTCTGTAAGGGTTAATATTTATGTTCCCTCACAGTATACTTTTCCTATTGGGGAAAGCCGTGTGTGGGACATCATCTCTTCATCCAGATTTTTAGTTTACTTAAGATAAGGACTCTCAAAGTTCCTAGGCGAAAGCTTTGCAATAAATTGAGCACTTCCTTAGCAAGTAGGAAAGAGAACTGATTTTGCTTATCCTTTTGAAAGACCAAGTCCTTTGATTTTGGAGTAAGGGTTGGGATTTTCCTTCAGCTAGGAGTGACTAGCAGATGTTATAGGCAAAATGACTTAATGTCAACATGGGAAGATTTTCCTTAACTTTGAATAATTTTGAAATTAAGATGTAAAAATGAATAAGGACTATCAATGTAATGTGTTTTTACAAAAGTATTTTTCTTTCACTCACAAAAACAATAGGTATAGTTTGAAGGCATCAAATGGTGGAGAGGACTATAGCTATTTAAAAAACAAATTCGGATTATTAGGGTGATTGATGGAATTTTATGCGTGACTTTTTTTTTCCAACAGGTTTGTTTTTATGATAAAATGACTACGATGATAACATTTTAGGGCTCCAGGGTTAAAAACAGAACCTTCTTCCTTGATGTAATATATCAACCAGAGAGAAAGACTGCTGTGTTGCTTGCATGCTGGTCTGTGCTGGAACCCAGACTTCAGGTGTGGGTACCAGCATCTCTGTGTGGAAGAGACCTGAGTATCTTTAGTAGTTTTCTGGATTGAGGAAGATTACTCTCATTTTAAATAAAACTCTATTATTTATTTTTATCTAACCCTTATCTAGCACCTTGTGTAAGAACTTTACAAGTACTAACCATTTAAATAAAGGTCTATTATTACAACTGAAGATGTTTTATGTAAAGTTCACAGGAAGTACTGTGCTGTCCTGCTAAAAGACTCTCTCTAGTTCATTACCTTATTGAAGAAAAAACTTACCTATTTCTCTTCAAGAGTGGAACTTTTGGGCATAAATACTCGTGTACCATGAATTTGCTATTTGTCAAGACATGGGTGCTGTAGCTGTTTTTGATAATAAGGTAGTTTCCTTTTTTTTATCCTCCAACATATATTTAAAGTATAAAAAGCTCGGTCTAGGTACTTCCCTGGTGGCGCAGTGGTTAGGAATCCGCCTGCCAATGCAGGGGCCACGGGTTCGATCCCTGGTCCCGGAAGATCTCACGTGCCATGGAGCAACTAAGCCCGTGTGCCACAATACTGAGCCTAAAGGTCTATTATTACAACTGAAGATGTTTTATGTAAAGTTCACAGGAAGTACTGTGCTGTCCTGCTAAAAGACTCTCTCTAGTTCATTACCTTATTGAAGAAAAAACTTACCTATTTCTCTTCAAGAGTGGAACTTTTGGGCATAAATACTCGTGTACCATGAATTTGCTATTTGTCAAGACATGGGTGCTGTAGCTGTTTTTGATAATAAGGTAGTTTCCTTTTTTTTATCCTCCAACATATATTTAAAGTATAAAAAGCTCGGTCTAGGTACTTCCCTGGTGGCGCAGTGGTTAGGAATCCGCCTGCCAATGCAGGGGCCACGGGTTCGATCCCTGGTCCCGGAAGATCTCACGTGCCATGGAGCAACTAAGCCCGTGTGCCACAACTACTGAGCCTGCGCTCTAGAGCCCATGAGCCACAACTGCTGAAGCCCGCATGCTGCAACAACAGAAGCCACCACAATGAGAAGTCCGTGCACCGCAATGAAGAGTAGCCCCCACTCACCGCAACTAGAGAAAGCCCAAGTACAGCAATGAAGACCCAACGCAGCCAAAAAATAAATTAAAAATAAATAAAAAGCTCAGTCTAAAAATCAAAGTGTTCTGAAAATATAATTGGTGCCCGCTGTGAAATGGATATTGCTACTTACTGTGGTTATCTCCTTTTGTTTTCCAGATGGGTTACTTATGAATATGGCAATTACAGGGGTCGACAGTTCCTACTGTCACCAGCAGAAGTACCTAATTGGTATGAATTCAGTGGCTGTCGCCAAATAGGTTCTCTACGACCTTTTGTTCAGGTACTTTCTTCTTCTACATGCTTTGAATAGACTCTTCTCCGAAATCTTTTTTGTGAATGTAATTAACTTTTTAGTTTCAATTTTAAGTGTGAAATTGGCCTCTCCCCCACCCCACCCCCGAGAATTTCTGAATTTCGGCTGTGTTTCTGGTGCCAAAAGGTTGTAACTGCTTTCAGAAATGTTATTACACCTGACATCAAAACCTGGTATGGGGCTTCCCTGGTGGCGCAGTGGTTGAGAGTCCGCCTGCCGATGCAGGGGACAAGGGTTTGTGCCCCGGTCCGGGAAGATCCCACATGCCGCGGAGCGGCTGGGCCCGTGAGCCATGGCCGCTGAGCCTGCGCGTCCCGAGCCTGTGCTCCACAATGGGAGAGGCCACAACGGTGAGAGGCCCTCGTACTGTAAAAACAAAACAAAACAAAACAAACAAACAAATAACCTGGTATGTCCCAAGCCCTGGGTTGTCCATAGGCAGGCTCCCAGCCCCAGGCACTTTGAAATTCTGTCAACCTCTCCTCATTGAGAAAATCCTAAAGCCTCTGAAACTCTCAGATACAGCAGTTTTCCCTTATCCAGCCTCATTTGGGATTCTGCCCCTGCTACTGGTGCTTGTTCAGTGCTTCTAAAGTACAGCTTGTATATGACTATTGCTGGGGTTTTGTCTTCTAGAAACGAATTTATTTCAGACTTCGAAACAAAGCAACTGGATTATTCATGTCAACCAATGGAAACTTAGAGGATCTGAAGCTTCTCAGAATACAGGTCATGGAGGATGTCGGTGCTGATGATCAGATTTGGATTTATCAAGAAGGATGCATCAAGTGCAGGGTGAGCTTTTTGGATTAGACAAGGGTCTGTCATAGCATCTCTCTTCAAGTAGAGGCTACTTCACGATTCCTGGAGCATTTTCAGAAATAAGTTAGAAGGTTTTTCATGAAACTATTTCTTAGTTCTCATAGAACCTGTCTAGGAACCAAATGGGAGGTAAATCTAGCACTGATCCAAGATAGAATCTTTATATCTATACTTGATTTTTATACAGTAATAGAAAAAGCAAGTGTCTGTGTTACCTTCCCCTTTTTCCTTAACCTACTTGTTATAGAAATAAACTTATAAGCCCCATCATTATCAACACAGATCACTCTTGGTTTGTTTCCATTTTGGAGGACCCCACAGACTAGGCTGAAGAGATACCACCCTGTGTACAACACAATCCATTTCCTAATTGTCACACGTTGTAAAATGGAAAATTGCCCATCTCCCTCCTATCACTCCCGCCACAATGCACATTTAAAAGCTGAGTGCTGTAAGAGTTTATGAGAGATGCTTCACACTTCTATTGTACATACTCTTTTTAACTCCTTGATTTTATGGGCTTGACTGTTTGCTCCCGATTTTTTTAATCCTGGTGCCCTGTGAGTCAGCAGAAGGCACTGCGGCCTGCTGAAAGCAAGTACAACTTGTTAAATTGGTCTGTTGTGCTTGAGGGAGAACCATCCTTTTGGTAAACAGAAGTACTGTTTAGACATGCATAGAAGAAATAGCTTGAGAAACAGAAGTAACTAATATAGAGGCACAGAAAAAGCAAACGTCTGCCTTTGAGTTATCTTAATTCAAGAAAATGGCATCTTGCAGCAATTATTTCTAATGAACATTACAGTGATATTATTTTAACAGCTTTGAATTTGGTAGGTCAGTGAGAAAAAGGAAAGTGTCCTAGATTATCACAATCCTTCTATCTCAATATATTGTAGAACAGTACACTTTTCATAAGCATTTTCTATAGCAGTATGTGTGAATGCCATATGAACATGACTACCATACCTTCTTTATATTATATTAAGGGTAGATTCACTTCATAGAAGGACCCATAAGATCTTTGCATTAAAACACACTCTACTGCATTTATGTTTTCTCTTTTTATACTTGGATAGGATGCCTTTGTAGAAAATTTTAGACGTTTCTCATGAAGGAAGACAAGACAAATCAGTAAATGGAATTCCAAGTTTTAAAATGATAAAATGCCCTTTTAGCAACTTCAGTGCTACAGCAGCCTTCAAAATTAGAGATGCAGTCATATTCCGGAAGGGTCAGGCTGAGTGGAGTGGATACGTTGGGGAGATTAGCTACAGACCCAGCCTCAGATCATGGTGATTTCTGGGGGGAAAGATCATGATGGGCATTTTTAGTGTTCTAAGGCTTCCCTTACTTATAAGACAGAAGGCCTCACAAAGGGCATAAATCTCTTAACAGTGGACAAGAATTGAGAACTTTCTATCACATGTTATCTGAAATGAAGGGCATAAATATTTGTTTGATCCCAGTTACCATGGCTAAAAGCTGAAATTCCTCATGTGGGGTATAAATGAAGCTAGGAACTAAGATAACTTTAAAAATCAGCTCACACAGGAAATTGCTTGCAATGGTAGCTGAATGTATATCCACCCATGTCTAAGATACCTTGTCTTTTCCACTGAGCAGATAGCAGAAGACTGCTGCCTGACCATCGTGGGGACCCTAGTAACCTCTGGCTCTAAACTGGGCCTGGCGCTCGAACAGAACGTCGACAGTCAGTTCTGGAGCATGAAGTCTGATGGCAGGATCTATAGCAAGCTGAAGCCAAATTTAGTTTTAGATATCAAAGGTAAGGATCGTTTCCTTTATTTTCTTTGTTGTGTCTTTCTTTAGTTAACTAAAAAGCTCTCCTTTACTTTTGAAAATGATACGTGTACTATTATTAATAGTAAGTGATCCCTTAACTACGTGCCAGCCTCAATGCTATACACTGTACATACGTTATCTCACGTGATCTTCACAGCAGCCCCAAAAGGCCTGTGTTATCCCTCCTCGCCCCACTTTACAGCCTCCAAACTGAGGCTCAGAGGAGTTAATCAGTTTGGCCACAGTCTCACACCCATTAAGTGCTGAGGTGGAATCCGGACATGGGCCGACTTTAAACCATTTATTATAACAATGTTAGACTAAAATTCACAAGTTAAAAGGCTATGACCTCAGTCTGTATAGTTGATGATTCTCATGTACACGCATGTAAACTTTCATTGTAAAGATCTAAGACTGAAAAGGAATTAAAACAAGCAACATAGCCCAAAAGATTTCCACTTCACATTTGTTCAGTGAAGTTAATCCAGAGCAAACCGATTGATGGAGCTTGGGGAAGAACAAATTTAGGCCGCGGGGGTTTCCAAACTTTACCTGCATGAGAATCCCCTGGAGGGCTTGTTAAAAACACAGATTGCTGGGGAACGTTCCACCCTCAGAGGTTCTGATTCAGTGGGTCTGGGGAAGGGCCCAAGAATCTGCATGTCTAACAAGCTCCCAGGTAATGCCTATGCTGCCTGTCTACGAGAACTACTGATGATAATTTTAAAACAACATAAAGCAAAAAAAAAACTGACTTCAAGGAGACATGGGAATTCAGTGAACCTTTGTTGCTACAGACAAGCAAATGATGATGGTGTGTTTTATTCATGTCATGTGCGGTGATTTTGCTTCAGGTTATTAATGGAGACTTTCTATCCCCTATCAGGAAACCAGTGTGGTTATGTTCGTCAATTTAGTGGAACCGTTCTATACCACACACCACTTTAAATCATGGCTAGAAAGTTGGCTCAATTTTACCTGAGTCAGGGTTCTAGGCCAAAGCTGTCATTAAAAATTAAGATAGAGTGGTAAAGAAACAGCTGCAACCTGGTTTTAAAATAACTTTTGTGGAAGATGGAGAATAAGCCTGAACATTTCCATCAGGGGCTTTGGTGACTGCCCCTGGAGAAAAGTGGCTGTCACTTCTGATCTGCAGGTGGGGAGAGTGGCCAAGCCACCTAACAGTGGGATTAGAATTCACAAAGAATCTGAGGAACAGAAAGGTGCTCAGAGGCAAACTGAGTTTAATGAGGCAAAGGCAGGGCACTACATTTAGGGAGCACCACTGAGCAATATCTAACTCCAGGCTGGATGGGCCCCAAAGTCGTCCAGTGTATAAAGTGCAAGCAGGAGACAAATGCATTGTAGGCTGGCACGACAGATCTGTCAGTATGTACACAAGTAAGATACCCATTTTATAGATGATCAATCTGAGGTTCAAACTGTTAAGAGTCACTATCTTTATTCTAATTTTGAACAACTTGTTAAACTGGAGCTCCTAGAGTTTCAAAAGCTCCAGAGAAGCCAAAGAAATGTGACTAGACTGAATTGGAAACATGGATTTTGGGGAAAATACAGACTAATGTTTCTTACAGATGTGATCAGCTTCCTATGTCCAGGGTTAAGGTCATTGTAATCTTTATGAGCTAGTCTCTTAGAGCATTCCTTTTATTCTTTCAACATGTATTTATTGGGTACCCACTATGTGACAGGCTCTGTGCCACACACTGGGGGTATCAAAGTGAAAGAAAAAAAGAAAAACAAAAAGGACAGTACCTTGGCTTCAGAGCGCTTACATTCTGGAAGCTCCAAGGATATGGGATTTTCCCCCACTTGCTACCCTGGCAGTTGACCAAGAGTAAGGATTCCTGGCTTTCTAGTCTTCGACTCTGAAAAGGACTGTGGGACTTCAGGAGCCTCCTCCTTAGGGCTTCGCTTTAAAGCTCCAAGATCACTTCCTAAAATGCAATGTAAATTAGCCCAGTGCCTTTGGAATAAGGATACTGTTCTGTACGTTTGTGAACTCAGTATATCGAGTATGGTAGCTACAGTAATCACTTGTTAAACTAGTTTATAGTTTATATGTCTCAGAATGTGAGAGAATGATGCCATCTTGTGGACAAGAGAGAGTAGGGCCACACATCCCACATACTGTGCAAGGGGGATAGAAATACATCTCTCAATTGGAGACTGTGACTTTCACTGGCTACAACTGTTGACCATTTGTTACCTACTAATACTACCATAAGATTTATTTCTTTTAACCTCTCTCCTGGTGTTTTGGTAGACATCCGTGTATTATTCCAGACCAAAGACATAATAACAAGAGTGTAAGCTGATTCACACTCACTTTAAAAAAGTCTGTGAGGATTTTAATCCTCCCCAAATGCAAAGAATAAATCAGATTATTTCTCAAGAACTTTCTAGTCATCATGACTCTAATTAGAATTATGATGTAATATACACAGAAAGTATGTTTAAGATACTGTAATCTTGAAGAATGAAAAAAGACATTGTGACCTTAAGATAATATTTGCTGAAATCTCAGTGGAGTATAGTGTGTTGTGTCTCAGTGGAGATGGTGCGGTTTGTGGTGGTGGTGACTTTTTTTGTCCAAACTTAAGCATAAAATGCCCAGGGCACCTTGCCTTTGTATTCTATCCTATACCTAGCTGTGCAGAGGCTCTTAGTTATCATGATGATAAACCAATTTCTTAGAAGAGGGGCATGCGTAAGAGATTATTTCTATCAAAATCTACTGTGTAAGTTTTCAGACCTTTTGGATGTTCTGTAAATGCTTTAAAAGAGAATAAGAACGTTTAATTCCTCTTGGCCTGAGGCTGCAGTATGATTTCAATACCAGTCGCACTTACCCTGCAGCGAGTTGAACAGATTTTAATTTTGATGGAGTCCTTGGTGCTATGACGTTGGTACAGAGGCTTATGCTGAAAAGGGTAAGGTATCTGTTTACTCCACACTGGAAAAAACAATCACACGACCCTTTCTTTTGTTAATGATACTTCTCCAATTGAAAGAAGAGGCCACGAGGCTAAAGAATCTGAAATATCTAGTAGGCACCCTTGGAAAAACATTCTGGTGAAAGGGAAACCATACTAGTTTTACAGTCTAATGGAACTCAGCATGTTAAGTGCTATGAATTTTCATACACCACATCCTGTGGGTTCCCAGGAGTGGGAGTGCTGCCCTGCCTGTGCTTCTGGGTGTCACTCAGACCTCCCCTTTGACCTAATACAACTATTTTTCATTGTTCATGCAAAATTTGTTCCGATGACCATTCTACTCAGGCCTGCCTGCTTTTTTTGCTGGTATCTCAAATCCACAATCCCACCACTGACTATTTGTCACAATCGTTTTACTCCTTTTCCCATTTCTAGATTCTGCCCCCGCCACCCCGCTGGTGCCATATGATGGGGCTTTAACACATCACCCCCCAGAGGCTGGAACCTCTCAGCCCTCAGTGCATTTCTGGGCTTTCCTCCCTGCTTTGTCTCCTCGAGGCACATAGTTTTACACTTTGCTTACTCTTGTTACATTGGTGTTGTGATAAACTGTGTCTGCTCCAGCCTCTTCATGTGGGCATGTTTCCTTCCAGCATTCTCCTCTTCTGTCTTTCAGGGGGTACACAGTATGATCAAAATCACCTTATCCTCAACAGTGTCAGCAAAGAGAAGTTAACACAGGTGTGGGAAGCCATGGTCCTATAGGCCTGAATTAAAGAATGCAGGAGGAATATTTCTGGCGGTCTTTCAGCTACCTTACTTAAACAAACAAACAAAAAGAAAAAACAAGGGCTGCAGACAGAAGCGCCAAGAAGAAAGTGGACCTGCTCCTTCAACAGCTCTAAATTCTCTCTTGAATCACACCACCGTGACCAGGACAACCACTCATCTTCTCAAAAGACTGTAGTCGTTTTAAACCAGTCATTTATCCTCCTCTTGTTTCATCCCTTTCATTTCTTTTCAGTAGCTGCTTAAGCAGGTTGCCTCATTAGCAGCAAGATTATGTACATTTTAAATTATATCCAAAGATAGAGAAACAAGAACAAACTTACCGACCTTGCAGACCTACAAGTCCTGTACACTTAAGGGAAGGACAGAAGCTCAAGTTTGTAAGGTAGGAGGCTGTTCAGCGTCTGAGAAGAAATAATTTATTAGGCCTGTAATTTTGGTCCTTGATCTTCTGATTTCTGGACTTATTAATTATGCCGTATAGCAAAGTGGGGAAAGCCTTATCTAGTCAGACCTACCTTAAGCAACTAAGTATAAACAAAATGTTTCTGTTAATATTAAAAATTAGGGGACTTCCCTTGGGGGCACAGTGGTTGAGAATCTGCCTGCCAATGCAGGGGACACGGGTTTGAGCCCTGGTCCAGGAAGATCCCATGTGATGCAGAGTGGCTGGGCCCGTGAGCCACAACTACTGAGCCTGCGTGCCACAACTCCTGAAGCCCGTGTGCCTAGAGCCCGTGCTCCGCAACTAGAGAAGCCACCGCAATGAGAAGCCCACGCACCGCAATGAAGAGTAGCCCCTGCTCGCCACAACTAGAGAAAGCCTATGCACAGCAGCAAAGACCCAAGGCAGCCAAAAATATATTTTTAAAAAATTAGTAAATTTACAAAGATAGCATGTCCATGTCTGCTAACATTTATTAGCAGGATCTGGATTATTTTAACCCACTCTAGAATGTCACATGTGAGTGGTGGTTAGTGCTTTTCTTGCAGATGCTACGGAAACAGTATTACCGTGACCTAATTTATGAGCCCATCCTCATCTACAGGTAGTTGAAGCAGTGTGACGCAGGCCTTTGCTAAACTCAGGTCTTTTAGCCCAATTTCCTGCCCCCCTGTCCAGCTGCACTGGCACGAGGCCTGCACGGGGCTGCCTTCCCTGTGAGGCTCCACGGCCCCGCACCTGCTCTGACTGCTGGGCGACAGCCTCAGGTCATGTACTTCTGGGAGCAGAAACGAGAGGTGGGGAAGGCTCAAGAGGATGACCAGCAATTCTCTCCAGAAAGCGAAAGAAAGGAGACTGAAGCAATCCTAGTTGGCCAAATCTCAGATCTGAGAACCCTAAGACGCAGCAAGTATTTCAGTGGAAATTGAAAATATTTAGCTGCTGACTGTACACTCCCTGGCCTCAGTGCTGTTCATAGTTTGAACAAAACTGCTAAACATTCCTTGAATACACGCTTCCTCTTTTTGTCCTCATGTCGTTGTCCTCGTCACTGGACACTGGTGCTTGGAAGAACAAATCTTGTTTCCTTTTCAGCTACTCCGTATGTTTCCAGTTGTAAAATGCTGATCCTCTGGAGCCTGTGGTGGGCAGTGGCGGCCCCCAGAGTAGTTTACCTTCAGTTTTAAGATGTTCGCACACGTGCAGCAGCAGCTGCCAGGCGTCTTGTTCTTAGGTGCACAGCTCTGGCCTTAGGCCTTTGTGTGTCTCACTACAGTAAGGTGGGGTAAGACTGTCTAGTCTGTGTTGAATTTCTCTCTTGAATAAACTTGTTTCTGGTTAACTACTGATGAAATCTGAGAGAGTCCATTCTAGCCCTCGTAACACTTCAAAGAGGGTCAGCAGGCAGATTAGAAACCAATGTCTGATCTGGACAAGGTGGGTTTCAGAGCTGCTAGAATAACAGCAGGGGGAGATTTTCGACTACCCTCTTTCCAGACTCAGTGGTGAAGGGGCACACTCCACTTTTCTGAGTGGACATGAGGGTAAGTGAGGTCGTCCCTCGAGAGATGCCCCTCACTACCACTGGGAGGCCTCAAAGAGAAAGAGCTGAGGTTGAATTCAGAGAAGTCAAAAGTGGCTTATTCACACCTGGAAAAACATCTTGCTTTTGAGGTAAACTTGTACTGGTGAGAACAGCAATTCTAGAGAAAAAACCCTCATGCAACACTACAAACGAGTGTCTAGCAGGAAGAAACCAAGTAGAAGGCTACTCAGACAGGTCTACGTCAGAAGCCAAACGACAGCAGCTGAGCTGCAGTAATGAGGGGATGGTGGCGGGAATTGAACACTTACCGTCAGTGATCAGAGCGCACAGACTAGAGACTCAAAAGCCGCAACAGGTTTATTGGCGAGATACCTAAACGCAAGCATTTCAGGTCAAACTGGAGAACTCTGGTCCCCAGTGGAATGGTGGTAATTTCCACGGAAAAGTCCCCAGAGAAGCACATTTCAGTTGCCGAAAGAAGACTAGCCTTACGCAAAAAAGTAAGGGTTTTAAAAAGCTACAAACTTTACATCACCTTTCATTTTCCAAAAGCGTAAACAACCAAAACGCTGGCGAGATTTTTACATATGACCCTAAGAGATTCAGAACTCTGAGGGCTGTCATGACCGCACGCTGGAGCAGATGGAATAAAAATCAAAGGAAACTTTGGCCAGTGGGAAAAGTGCTCACTCTGACCCTAAGAAGGAATTAGCTTTAAGCAAGCTCTTCATGCCGCCATCCCTCCACGTGCTGAAAGTTCTAAGCTCTCACAATTATTAAGATGATAAACAGTTTGAGCTGCTAGAACAGAAGGTGCCGCCACAATCTGCAAACCTGCTGTGAAAGAACAGCTTGAAAAAAACAATAGGCAATTTTCAGCAACTTTATAGACAAGTCCAAGTGCAGAGATGTTCATATCTTGTCCCTGCTTACGTGTGTATCCCCTGCGCTTGGCATGGAGGAGCTCGGCGGACAGGAGTGCGCGGCCGCGTCGGGCCAGGTGACGCGAGAACGCTCTGGGCAGAGCTAGGTGATGACAGAGGGTGGGGCTGTGGCTATAAAATCAGTCTCTGCTCAGCTCAGAAGACAGGAAATGACTGGCAGAAACGTGCGTGTGCTAAATTTATTTCATGGAACTTCTAGTCTAAGCTGGAAAAGAGCCGGGGCCTGCAGGCACTCACCAAATAAGAGCCCACAGGCACCAAACTGAGTGTGTATTTAAACGACACTGACGACGGTCTTTCCTCGTGCGTGTCCTCTTTCTACCTTCAGGAAGGCTTCTGGAACTTTAGAAAACGGAAAGGTTTTCTCAATAACTGGCTGAATCTGTAAAACACAAGAAAGGTTGACGAGCAGGTGAGAAGAGCCGCGTGGGTCAAGTCGGGTGACGTCGGTAGTTGGTTGCGTCGCGTGCCCAGCTCTGGCGGGCCTCTCTCCGGTCTGCGTGGCGCCCCCGGGTCAGGAACTCAAGGCGGGCCAGCAAGACGGCTGCCCCCCGGCTTCTCCTGCCTCTTTGCGTCTCCGGTGTAAGGGAGCCCAGACCGACCAGTAACCTTCCTCTGGCTCCACGCCGGCGCCTCGCTCCCCTGCTCAGGGCCCTTCCACGGCGCCTGAGGCCAGCATCCCAAGGCCACTACCGTTCCAACCTCCACCCTCCGTGGACCCCGCGTTACCAAAATGGGCTAGCTGCCGTTGTCTGAGCGTGGGGTGTGTGCCCCTCTGCGACATCTGCCGGGCGCCCGGCCCGGCCCCAACCCGAGCCTGCGGCGCGTCCTCTCCTTGAACCGCCGCAGAGCCTGTGTGGCCCTCCTCACAGACGGCCTGCTACAGCCCAGTGCCCGTCTCAGCCACGCTGTCCTGCGTGGTAAAGGCCAAAGAAGGCGTCCCAGGGTTCTCGCTGCATGTGTCCCTGTGGCCCCTCACAGGCAGTGCCCAGAAAAGGGACAGATTGTTTCAATTTGTTGAATGTCTGGCCCGACTCAGTCAAAGCTTAGCACACCTGTGGGCTAGTCACCTCTTGTATCCGCCCCCCAACACCCAGCACAATGCTAGGCACACAGCAGGAGCTTAATAAGTGTCACTTAGGTGAAAACCAGTAAGATAACTGGGAAGCGAGAGTCTTGCGTGGGCTCTGTGGCCCTTCCCTGGCTGCAGCTGCCCTAGGGGCTTTGCTAAGCCACACAGCAGCTAGGTGGAACTTACAGGAACGCCAGCTCAGCCAGCGCATAAAGGCTTGAGTGTTGCTGGTTCTTTTTACTGTAGCGTTAGTACTGCCAGCAACCTCCTTTGAAACTAGGACCAGTTAAGCGCCCTCTCCCTATGCACGAATCCAACTGAACTCATCCTTTTCAAAACTTCAAGCAAAAATCAATAACTATCCACTGGCTCTTTCAGTGAACTACCTGCCACTGCTCCACAGGCGGGTATAAGTCGTCGGAAGGCATAAGCCTACATCTCGCAGCCCTTTCCGTCTTCCAAGAGGAAGAAGTACGTGCTTTTGTGTTCACGTGCACCCGACAGACCTTGCTCTCGTGTGAACCTCACAGCCCTGCCACCAGAGAGCATCTCGGACTCCAAAAGTTCCCTTCTCCAGAGTTGAAAATTCTTTTGTACCCGCAAACCACGATAAGCTCATAAAAGTCACAGCTAGCACATACTGGCCTCACTGTGTGCCAGGCACTCTTCTAAGTGCTCTGTATATTTTACTTCATTTAATCCCTACAACCACCTTATGAGGTAGGTACTATTATTGTTCCCCTTTTACAGATGAATAAATTAAGGCGCCGAGTTAAATAAGCTGCCCAACGTCCCATAACTGCTAAGTGGTAAAGCAGGATTCAAGCTGGTGCCAGAGTCTGTGCTCTCTCCACTACGCACTAAGCCTTTCGTATATCAGCAGCTGCTTTCTACATCTACTCCTAAAATCTTAAGGGGAGGGAAAGGTAGCCAAGGATTATAATGGTTCATCACAGCCTGCATCTTGGCTGGCCTGCCTCATGCTAACAGACTGTGCCACCTGAGGATCCAGTCTCCAGGCCACCAAGATAGCAGTTGCATGGTCCATGGGCCACCACTCCCATCTGCACCTGCGGAGGACATCACTGATGAATAATCGTGGCACTCTCCAGCAAGCTGAGGGTGACCTCAACCTCCCCCGGCATGGTGGCCACTGTGAACAGAACAGATCTGAGCTGGCTTGTTAGAGGAAATCAGCTTGCCTCGTCTGGTAAAAGAGTGGAATGCGTTCAAGTTGTTCCCTGCATGTCCCACCCAAAACCTCCCGCCCCGCCCCTCTCCTTCAGGCTGCTGGGACACTGCTTTTTGTATGTGATTACTTGAAAAGGAATCACCTGAATGCATGCTTAAAATGCAGAGTCCTTGGTCTCCAGTTAGAACAACTAAATCAGAATCTCTAGGGGTGGAGGTGAGTTTTCTGCACATCAAGGAGGGAATCACTGCAGCCTTTTGCCTTATGCTTAGGGTTCCTGACTTGTCACCCATTCCACAGAGACTGTCTGCCTTCTAAGTGCCAGGCACTGACGCAGAGCAGGCACACAAAGCAGGCACCAGAGAGGGACATCAAGAAAAGAAAGGAGGCAATAACACCCATTCGTTGTCACTGAGCACCGGACACCGGCAGCGGCCTTACGGGAGGTCACAAAGGAACAGGAATCCACCTGCTCAACTCCAGGATGAGCGGCCTGCCCACCTAGCTCCGTCCACTTTAGAACCTGACCGGAGAGACAGACCCTGAACTGATGACCCAGGCAGCCCACAGCGACAGCACACTTTAATCTGGCTGGTCCGGCCTATTGTGGCGGATAATCCCACAGGGCTGACTGTAGCATAACGGGCATTCAGTTCTTCTCGTAAGTGACAATGAAAAAGAGGCTTTCAATTAACAGGCAGGCAAATGCCACTGTTGGCTGAATATATGACAGCAAACAGAGATTAATGGGATAATGAAGCAGTGTCTACACACAGCCTCACATCAGACCCGGAATGCTTGTTTGCTATGGACAAAGGGATCAGAGCAAAAATCCAGAGAGGGGAAAGAAAGGTTACTCACGGTGAGGTGGGGACATTTATGTGATGACACTGCTGTAGTCTGGCCGACTCAGGGAGCCCTGGTATAAAGCGGCGGGCTTCATACCACACTCGAGGGCGACGCGGACGCGCGGGGCTCACAGCTGACCGGGAGTCCACAGCTGCAGCATTCATCCCAGTCTCAGACCTAAATTCAGGCTCTCTGATTGTCCTTTCCCTTCCTAAACAAAGGCTGCACAAAACCAGGCCCCGGGGTTTGGCACCTCCTGCCTGACATCCCTTCCATGAGAATAGGGACCATGGGAACCTCTACCTCCCTGGTGTGGCCTCAGAACACTGTTGTTCATCAGCCACTGGGCAAGCCTCCCTGCTTCTCAGGCAGAAACCCTCTCAGCACAGGAGCTTTGGAGAGCTGGTGGAGAGAGGATGGCACCCAGGCAGGCACGGTGGCCTGCAGAGAGGCTCTCCCTCAATCCCCACTTCCCTGCGCAGATCACAGAACAGTAGAGCTTAAAGCGGGGGAGCCTCTGAGCCAGCCTGTTGGATAGAGTAGGAAACTGCAGCGCAGGTGTTTACGTGCTAAGTGCAAGGTCAGAGCTCTTAGCAGAGGAGCAGACTTAGGGTCCCAGACGCCCGATGTCATCACTGCATGGCATGGGTGTGTTTTGGGGAGGGAAGCCCAAGTCTGTCACCTCTTCCCCATACCCTCAGCCGCAGCCTCCACGGGGCACAGAAACTGATCTCAGAGCGGGGAGAGTGCGAGGAGACAGAGGCCGATGACAGAGATCCAGGGAGACCTAAAGGCCCCTGGCGATCCCTGTCCTCACGCCTGTGGACGGGCCCCGGCGCAGGGCGGCAGGACACAGCGCCAGCACCCCCTCTCAGATAGGCGTGGCCCTGAGCTCTGCCACAGGATCAGTGTTTCCTGGGGTGGGATAAAGGGGAAGAAGGAGGCTTAAACTAGGCAGATATGAAGGAAGAGGTGGGCTTTGCTCGGACTTGCTATTCCTGAACTTCCTGGCCCCAGATGGAAAACTCAGGGCTGGAAGATAGGAGGTGAGATTGAGCGGGGGGGAGGATACTCTCCAAGGCAGTAAATGTGCATCCCAGGACTTGTCCCTAGGCCCCCCTAAAAACAGGCACTCCTAGCCAGAAGGTAAGGGGAGAAACTCGGCCTGTTTACCCATAGAAACAATTTTCAGTGGCATCTGAAAACTTCAGTAGCATCAAGGCTGTGAGGTACCTACCACATCTGGCAAGGTAACACTCTCGTAGTGGTCCCAGGGATTCAGTCCCTAGCCGTTACATTTTTTCTATGGGAGAAAAAATCCAGCTGCAAATAAGGAGTTCAAAGTTTTGGAATACAGTTCATTGCAAAACTAGGGCCTGGCCATCCCAAAGCGGGTCTGGGAGATCATTTGCCTCAGAACTTATTACACTGTCTCTAAAGCTGCACTGTCCAAAATGGTTAACCTCGAGCCACATGGGGCTACTTAAATTTAAATTAATCAAAAGTAAATAAAATGAAAAATTTAGTCCCTCAGTTGCACTAGCCACATTTCAAGTGTTCAACAGTCACATACGGCTAGTGGCTACCACACTAGACAATGCAGACAGAGAACATTTCCATCACTGCAGAAAGTTCTAGTGGACAGCACTGCTCAGGATGTAATTCAGCGTGACCAGCGCATCTCTCCACACACTACTGGATGAAGCAAAGCGCCCACCAGCCCTCAGTAACTTCTGAATTAGATTCAAATAACTTCCACAGGAACTATTCTGATGCTGGCTAAAATACATAAACCGAGATACATCATCGTTCAACCAAGAAGCTTGGCTGGTCACCTAGGATCTTGAATGGACCTGTGGACTCCAATGGCCTTAATAAGTACACGAACACACATGTGCATACACACACTCAACAAGATGAAAGGGTATGAAGGAACATCTCCCTCCCATACTTGGTCCTCAGCCATCTAGTTCCCCTCCTCAGGTGCAGCAACCAGTATTTCAAGTTTCTTTCATGTCTATTTTTTTTTAAGTGTTTTTTTTAAATAGGACTTTATTGGAGTATAATTGCTTCACAATACCGTGTTAGTTTCTGTTGCACAACAAAGCCAATCAGCCATATGCATACACATGTCCCCTTATCCCCTCCCTCTTGAGCCTCCCTCCCACCCTCCCTATCCCAACCCTCCCCCCCTCCCTCTCCCTGTGCTGTGCTGCTGCTTCCCACCAGCCAGCTATTTTACATCCGCTAGTGTATATATGTCCATGCTACTCTCAATTCACCCCAGCTTTGCCCTCCCACCCCATGTCCTCAAGTCCATTCTCTATGTCTACGTCTTTATTCCTGCCCTGCAACTAGGTTCATCAGTACCTTTTTTTTTTTTTTTTTAGATTCCACATATATGCATTAGCATATGGTATTTGTTTTTCTCTCTTACTTCACTCTGTATGACAGACTCTAGGTCCATCCACCTCACTACAAATAACTCAATTTCATTTCTTTTTATAGCTGAGTAATATTCCATTGTATATGTGTGCCCCATGCATTGTGGTAGGCATCCCACCAAAAACAGTTTGCTAAATAGTATAAAAACAGGAAATGTTTTTTGTGCTTAGGAGAAAATGCCAATAAACTTCAGGCATAAGGCACAGTGTCAGTAGCAGCCCATTAACCTCACTGTGCTAATTCACCCTACTGTGATTCACCCTACTGAATCACAGAACATCTTTGGAATGTCCAAAAAACTGGTAATGTTGGGGCCCTGACAAGGAGAATCTCCATGACTGAGGGACAGGAGTCAAAGGAAGAGTCTATGAAATAACTTTTCCTACCTTTTGGATTTTGAATATTACAAATGTATTATTCATTCCAAAGCTTAAAGTATTTTAAGAGTAGCCTCTTCTGGTTCATGGCCTCACACTGTCAAAAAACAACTCCAGCCCCTCTATCGGATACCTGCTAATTAGATTCATTAAGCAGTCAGCCAAAGGTTGGAAGGATTTCAGTGTCCTCGTCCAACTTTACAGTCTTTACTAACCACACAATGGGTAAGCAGATCTGTTCTGTTATCCTTTCCAACTTTCCAGTGTAGACAGGCAACAACCTCTCACACCCACAAAGAAGCAGGATGCACAGCACAGCTGACCTCTTCGTGGATCCGGTGTCACATATCAACTGCCATAGTCCCAGAGCCCTTCACTGTCAGAAATGACTCCTGAGCCCAAATAACCCTGGTGAGAAGAGAATCAAAGGCCAGAGGAACATCTCCTCACTCACCCTTGGAGGAGGACACTTGAAGGGCATCATTATTTCTACCATGTCCTCTTTTAGCCATTCCACCAGTTATCTACCAAATTCAATAGGGACACGTACACAAACACCTCTCTTTGTTGCATAAATAGTAATTTCTAGGTAGAGAGAGCGTCACAATATTTTGAACACAAAAGAGCAATGATAAGCATGTGGACAGTCTGGAGCCCCCGTCAGGACAAGTGTGGTGACTTCTGGAGGACAGGGGCCTCTCTAATGATGAGGCTCCATCCCCATTCAGCACGAGCAGAACTATGGGCCGTATTATCTGATGATGGCTCATTTCCTTCTTCCTAGAAATAAAATAAGCATCCCTGTGGGATATGGGGACATCCCTACAGAGAGGCACAATGCAGCCACAACAAGGCTGAAGAGCTCCTGTCTACCCAGTACACATCAAGACTTAGAAGTCTGAGAAGAAGCAAGTAAACTTGGAACCAAAATATTTGGGAAATAGTAGTGGGCCATTTTCTATCATAAGTTCCTTGGCTGAAATAGAATAAAAAAACTAAATGCACAAAAAGCAGCCAGTAGTTCCTAAAAACATTTCTTTCCCAAACCAAAATGGAAAGATGAGATGGGCCAGCAAGGGGCAGGTGCCAACACAAGAAAACCCATTTCAAGCGGCTCTTTCCATATGGCTTAGCAAGGATCACGTCGTGTGATGCTAGACTTGCTCCCAACCCTTTCCTGCCCAGTGTAAAATGACAAGTCAATTTAAGCTGAAGTCCTAGATCAGCTTCAAGCACGAAGAATGCAGCTTAATGGTGAGGAGGGAAGAGCACAGGACTGGGGTCAGAGGTATAAGTTCTGGTCCCACGTCTATAAATTTGAGCATGCCCCTTTATCCCTTTGAGCCAGTTTTCTCATCTATAAAATGAGAATCATTTTATCCATGACTTCATGCAACCCTCTAGGGTACATAAGCCTCTGCAATCATTTGTTTATTTTTTTTTTTTTTTAATTTTTTTTTACTTTTGTCTGAGTTGGGTCTTCGTTGCTACCCACGGGCTTTCTCTAGTTGCGATGAGCAGGAGCTACTCTTTGGTGTGGTGTGTGGGCTTCTCATTGCGGTGACTTCTGTTGTTGCGGAGCACAGGCTCTAGGCACGTGGGCTCAGTAGTTGTGGTGCACGGACTTAGTTGCTCCACGGCATGTGAGATCTTCCCGGACCAGGGCTTGAACCCATGTCCCCTGCATTGGCAGGCGGATTCTTAACCACTGCGCCACCAGGGAAGCCCTCCCTTCATTTATAATTCCATATAATTTCTCAATAAAATCACGAATATCAGTACCAGAATATGAGTTTGCCTTCTGGGTTATTCTTCCAGAGGTGGCATGTCTGAGCCGTTAAAACCACGTAAGAAGTTAAATAGGCAGGTGGTAGCTAAGGAGTCTTTCAACTGCCATCAGCCCTAAGAGCCCTTTCGACACCCAAAAAGGGCTGACCAGGCTCCAAGCAGTAGTCCCTCCCCACCAGGTCCGCTGCAGGACAGACTCGAATAGACAGAAACACCAACCAGCTGTCTCTACCAAAATCGCCATCAATCCTGAATCACATCCTGCCCACTGACCCTCTCAGACATACCATTTATTTGCCGATTTTATTACACTGGCCTGGGAACAGGAGACCCAGGGACCTAACTTCTAGTCCAGTTCTGTTTAGATTCCACAGTGTTTGATCTCCTTGCTCATCTGGAAATCTGCTTGCCTCCAAAGTAGCCTCACCCTCGGACTAAAGAAGCTCAAGAAGCAATTCAACTGTAAACTCACAAGTGTGTCCCCACCTTTGTGCAACAATTGCCTTCACGGTGCCTTCTTTTCAGGACCATTATCAAAATATCAGCAGCCCAGCTGTAGATCCCAGCTCTGCTACCATCTAACCAAGTGTCTTTGGGAAAATCACATAAGCTCTCTGGGCCTGCCTCTCATCTACAAACCAAAGGGGCTGCACTAGATGGTGCACGCTCTGTCTCAAATGCAGCAGTCTATGGCTATGATTCCCATGGAGAAAGAACCCAAAACACAGCACTTAAACTCGGCGTGTAAGGCAGTGTGGACATTGGCCGAGGCTACCTCTGCGGAGTTCCCATTGACTAGGCTTGCTGGGCAGGTCACCAAGATGACAAGGGACGCCCTGGCAATACACTTACCTTTCCCGCATCCACCAGTTCTGCAATGTCATCTAGATATGGACCACTGGCCATGAAAAAAGCCCAGCGATAATGGACTCCTTGCCAGAAATGCTAAAAAGAAAACAAAACGTGTCAAATATAGGAAAGGATGAAAACTGACAAAATGCAAATTTTGGGAAAAGTATTGCCTGGATGGCTAAGACAGACAAACTGCTTTCCCATTTCATGCTGCCACAAAGAGCTGGACACCCAGCACCTCAGCATAGTGACTGACAGACAGTGGATGCTCCATAAATGTTTCATAAATAAGTGAGTGAACAGAGATATACCCATGTGAACTCGGGCTTCTCCCCCAAGTTGTGACTGACAAGCAAGTAAGCACAGGAAAGCTCTTCTTAAAATGACAGTCTATGCACCTGCCCCAACTGCTGGGCGAGCTCAGACTTTCTCCACTGAGCTCACCGCACAATCTCAGCATGATGATCAGGTACCATCACGGCATGAAGCCGGCAGGTGCTTCATGGTGGAACTCCCCTGCTACTCTACCTCAGGCCTTGACAGTTGTGTTATTTAGGTCAAGCTACCACTTTCAGCCTGTTTCCCGGTCTGTAGAATGGAGGTGCCACCACCTAGCTGACAGGGGGGCTGGAGGGACTAAATGAGAATGTATGTAAGGTGCCTGACACATCGAAAATATTTGATAAATATTTACCCAGTGCTGAAAGTAAAGCTTACTGAGGAAAGGCTGGGGCAATGCAAATAGAGTTTAAGATTGTGGAGACACAGACAAACCCAAGCTGTAGTCTGGGCAGAGCTTCGCAATGAGTGCGCCAGGAACAGCTTACTGGTTTGGCTGAGTGACCCTTATTGTCTAACCTGGAACAACTTGTAAGAGTTAAAGGGGTCACCATTGATCATTATCTCAGGACCACAGATGTAAATAGAGCCAAGCTCACCCTAGAATAGGTATGACAAGCCCTCGGAGTAGCAGGGCAGAGCCCGGGCTAACACAAGCCTCCAGGTAGTTTGCTGTTGGCCCAGAGTGGTCTCGATATGCTATTCAAATACTATCATTTTCTCTGTGTGTCAGAGCATGAAAGAGGTCAGGAAGCATTGGTCTAGACAACTAACTTAAAAACAAACAAACAAACAAAAAGAAACACATTTGAAGGCTTAGGTGGCTAGACACCAGAGGCACTGGGACCGTCCCAAGCTTCGAGCAGGTCCAGTTAATTACAATCACAGAAGACCTGTTCGTGTACTTCTGCATAGGACTGGTTTTATAGACTATAATTAAAACCTTCTGATCACTGTTTAGAGTTTTAAAGAGGAACAGTGGTGGTCATAACTGCCATATCTATAATTCCTTTACAGCAGGTTGCTCTGTAAAGTGAAACATTTGGTCTGCAACAGCAGAATTTTTATATTCTGCTCTAAGGTCTGTGTAGGTTTTCCAGGCCATTACAGGAGAGAGTAAACCAAAGCAGGCAGGCATTACAATGAGGCTTTAACTGTGCACGTTCTCAGAAAGACATCAGAAACTACTTAAAAGGTTTTCACGTGAGATTACCACTATCATCTTTCAAGACGGGGGAAAGGGAAACGAAGAGAGCTATGCCTATCTTACTCTCGGAAGATAGCTCTGAAGCTTAACTTTTAAGAGGTCTCACTGCAATTCAAACTGTGAAATTTTATGGAAAACTTAAACTTATATCTTAAAGCAGCTGGGAAGCCCGAGTTTCATGAAAAGAGAAAGAAGAGACAAAGGACAGCTAAGATTCCTTCCTCCACCACAAAGCGCCCCGTGGACACTGCTTCTGGCTGCCGTCTGAACCAAGTGAAACCAAGTGAAACTGAAGAACCCGGAACACAGCGCCCGGTTTGTTCACTCCTGTCACCCAGACCCAGCTCCTAAGGACTGAGCAGCAGTCTCCTCCGTCACAGCTCCCTTCACCACCTCTAAGGACTTAGTACACAGCATTCAAGAGACCAAAGTCCTAAACTTCACCCCCAAAAAGGTTCCAAATTAATTTCGAGAATCAAGAAGAAGGTAAAGAGAATTATCAAGCCAGTCATCTTGCAAATACATGGCAGTGCTGGCTAGGTCGACGTGACTCACAACCTTTTCACCCTTGAGGAACCTTCTACTGCCTTTTTCCTGAGCCTGAAGTATTTTGTCTAATTAAAAAAAAAAAAAACAGAATGTATATTTTCTTGCCACTTATTCCATTTCAACACTAATTCAGATTTTAAACCAATAAGCTATAATTACCAACAGTGCGTAACATGAAATTATAAGCCTCTGTCACCATTGTCATGTCGGGTAGAGAGCAGACTCTGGAGCTCTGCTATCAGTCCTGTACTAGGGCTGATCTGCACTGGTCTTCAAGGCCCACCATGCACGGGATGTGTTCAGTTGGGTGACATAGCTCCTTACGGCCCTGTTAACAAAATCAGGCTGACTAATCAAATCTTTAAAGCCCCCAGAATGCCGTCAATAGTTAAGAGTTTCTGACTCACATGGGACATGTACTGTCAAGACAAGTTGATACAATTCCAGAAGAAGCATGATGGTTCCATTAGTCTTTGTAGGCTCACTGAAGGAAGAATACAATTTCCTTCAGTTTCTTTTTTTTAAATTAATTAATTAATTTATTTTTTGGCTGAGTTGGGTCTTTGTTGTTGCACGTGGGCTTTCTCTAGTTGCGGTGAGCAGGGGCTACTCTTCATTGCAGTGCACGGGCTTCTCATTGCGGTGGCTTCTCTTGTTGCGGAGCACGGGCTCTAGAGCGCAGACTCAGTAGTTGTGGCGCACAGGCGTAGTTGCTTCACGGCATGTGGAATCTTCCCGGACCAGGGCTCGAACCCATGTCCCCTGCATTGGCAGGTGGATTCTTAACCACTGTGCCATCATGGAAGCCCCTTCCTTCAGGCTTTTGAAATTCAAAAAAATTCCCGTGGACCTCTAAAGGTCCGAAAGCCCCAGTCTGGGAGTCACTGGCATATCCCAGTGTTACTACCATGAAAACAGCTAGCTCTACACTGTCTTAATGAAGCTTCTGCCATCATATACAAGAGATTGTATGTATTAAGACAGTGAAACAGAGAGCCATCAGGTGCAGACAAGAAAAAAGCGGAAGGTGTATCAGATGGAATCAGGAGCGGTAATAATAGCTAATAATAAAGGCTAACATTTAACGGGACTCCCCTGGTGGCGCAGTGGTTAAGAATCCACCTGCCAATGCAGGGGATGCGGGTTCGAGCCCTGGTCTGGGAAGATCCCACATGAGGCGAGCCACTAAGCCCGTGCGCCACAATACTGAGCCTGCGCTCTAGAGCCCACGAGCCACAACTACTGAGCCCATGTGCCACAAGTACTGAAGCCCATGCACCTAGAGCCCGTGCTCCACAACAAGAGAAGCCACCGCAATGAGAAGCCCACACGCCGCAACGAAGAGTAGCCCCCGCTCACCACAACTAGAGAAAGCCCTCACGCAGCAAAGACCCAACGCACCAAAAATAAATAAATAAATTTTAAAAATAAATAAAGGCTAACATTTAATAAGAGCGTCTTGGGTACCAGGCATTGTGCCAAGTTCTTCACATGGGTAGACTATCTCATTTAATCCTTACAACATACAGTAAGGGAGATACACCATTAGCCTCATTTCTCAGGTGAAGATGTTGAGGCTTAGTGACGCTAAGTAACTTGCACGGGGCTACACAGCTACCAAGTGGGGGCCAGAATTTGTACCCCGTCAGTACGTGACTCCAGAGCCCTGCTTGCAGCCACTGTGCTGTGCTGGCTCCATGAGAAAAGAAACTGGCTAGGAGGAAAACAAATTCCAGAAGCCCCAGGCGCCTGCTTGCTCTCACCAACCAAGACTCTCCCCCTACCTTCAATGTCTTAGAGCCCACGGTGACGCCTGTCTGCAACATGCCATCCGCTATGCCCAACCGGTCCATGTTCAGGAGGAAAGGAGTCACCAAAGTCACATACGTGGCTCCTGACCACTTCTTGAGAAAATTTAGAGCCCATGTTTCGGTGGATCCACCAACACTGTCGAGAATAAAATCAAACCTGGAGAGAAAGAATCAAATCAAAACATCTTGGTCAGCCTTTATCCAGCGCTCCAAGCCGCCTTCACTCCCAGCGCCAGTTAGCTACAGGGTTTGTTTCCTTGACAGCTCGCAGACAGCATGGGGTGGATGCCCGGACAAAGGAGAAAGGGGCACACCCACTTACTGGATCTCGGGGTTTTCTCCACCGTAAGTCAATGTCATTTTTTTAAATCATAAAATCATATTATTTTCAAATACTTTAAGAATGACTTAAACAAGTGGTTTTCAACCAAGAGTGATTTTGGCCCCCAGGAGACATATAAGGCAATGTCTAGAGACATTTTTAGTGTGACAATTGGGGGAGGCGGTGGGAAGGGGGTACTGGCATCTAGAGGCCAGGGATGATGATAAACATCCTACAACACACAGAACAGCCCCTCACAACAAAAAATTATCCAGGCCAAAATGTCAGTAGTTGAGAAACTAAGGTCGCCAAGGCTGAGAAACCCTGACTCAAGCTTTATAGAAAACTGCAAAGCTATCCATCCAATGTTAAGTCAAAGTACTCTTTCGTTCACATGAATACTTGAGAGAAAAGTGTATTAGGTTTTGACCCACACAAGTCATTTGCTTGTATTCCCTCCACAATCAGAGCTGCTTGTAGAAGCATCCTCTTCACCTTACAGAATTTTCTTCTTTTGGTTTCATGCACATCAGCACAAAGCAAAAGAAAAATCATCAGCCTGCTCTCAGTCTTCAGCTCTGCTCTAACATGCCAAAAAAAATGCAGTCATAATGGAATGCACAGGAACTGACAGATATTCAGCTCCTTAGATCTAATCTAAAATTGCTATAATCGCTACATTCTACTTAAAGGGGATAAAACCCAATGAAGCTTTAAAATACTTTAGAAAATAAAGATCTATTTAGAGAATGCATGCTTATATATTAAGCAAATTAACAGAGGAATTCCTTTTTGGTAAGTCCTTTTTCCCTCCTAAATTCATCTGGATGAACGTCAAAGCTTCTAAAACCAGCTTTGGCCAACTTTGTGGCTCTTGAGTTCGTTCATGGGACTAAAGAAGGGCAAATAGAAATTAAAAGATATGAAGTGCAGGAGAATGCCCTTACTAGATGACTATTCTCATTAGAAAAGAACAGAAAAATTCTTCATGAGTTTACGTTTCTGCTTAAGTTTCTACTTTTAAGTTCCTATTTCATTCCCAAATTTTGGATAAACAAACATGGCACTTAATTTAGATAAAACTTAAGGGCAGCCTGGTATTATAGAACTGGCACTGCCTGCAAAAAGAAGTCCAGAGACCAGGCTCTAGATGCAGCTCTCCCACTAATGATTAAGTGGCATGACCTTGAGCATGAAAAAAACTCCTAAATCCTCTGCCCCTTATTTTCTCGACTATAATGCCATAGAGAAGGACTGAAGGATTTCAAACCCCTTTCCTGCTGTAAAATCCTAGGATTCAAATCTAAAAGGCTGCTATATGGAAGGAGGAACAAATGTATTCTAGGTGGATTAAGAGGCCAACCTCCAGGCAGAAGTTACAAAGATCAATTTTAACTAAAGCGATCATTAAAAAAATAATGGCCTGCATTTGCGAGCTGGTGAGGTCCCCTGACTAGACAAGAGCAAGCAGAAGGGGCAAGGCCACCGGGCGGAGACTTGGAGGAAGAGAGTGAGGTGCAGGGTGGGAGGCTAGCCTGGGTGCACTCTCACCATCACCCATCAAGGTCTCTATTCTCTGGCAAAAGATTCCAGACATGCAAAAAACTCAAGGTGGATGGGGGGGAAAGGGTGGGCCTTGGCCTGTCTCTGCTGCTATTCCTAGAAGCAGCAGAAGAGAGGTGACTGACCGAAACTACCACTATCTGGAACCTCAGTCCTGCCACACAGGCAGGGATCTCCTCAAGGGACAGCGTTAGTCCTCAAATGTGCCGTAGAACATGTTCCTGCCACAGGGGCTTTACATCGGGTGTTATCTCCACCTGGAACAAGTGTTCCTCTCCTAGATTCCCTCGACAAGTCATTAAACAAATACTGACTGTAGGTCACTACACCATCCTGGGGTGGAGGGGGACACAGCAGGGAACAAAGACCCCTGCCCCCAACAAAAAGAAGTCCTATCCTCCTGGCTTGCTCCCCGAAGCCTCTGCCCAAATGCCTCACTTAGAGGCATTCTTCAACCACACCATCGCAAACAGCCTCCTCCTTCTAAAACAGCCTTTCTTTCCCCCTGTCGCTGCATCAGTGTTCTTGAGAGCACTAACCACTAGAATACAAGGCCACGAAAGGGGGCAACATGTCCTGTTCGCCACTGCGTCTTAGCTTGTGCTTAGAACACTGCCGAGCAGGAAGGGACATTCCATAAAAAGCTCCAGGACCATGAGTGGCCGGCTGCTCCTGGCTGTACAGCCAAACATCTACTGTTGGGAGTTGGGGTGCTGGCTGAGAGGCTGGGCTGTGTCAGATAGGGGCTCCCTTTGTCTCCTTTTTTTTTAAACCCATGAAAATATATTTCTACTTAAAGTGGGCAAGAATAATTAGCTTCTGAAAACTAATTTAAAAAGGAAAAATCTTTGAAATAGAAGCAGTAAAACAGCTTTCCAAATACTCCTCAGGCACGCTCTCCGCTGCAGCTTTGCCTGGGCTGGGTGAAGACCAGGTTCCTAAGCACCCCGGTCCCTGCCCGAGCCACAGTCAGGATGGACAGGGCCTGAGAGAATTCCTGAATCCGCTCTCACTTGGTACACTCCGTCAGACCACAGCCTGGCATTCAGACGCACCGAGAACTTCCACGGAGTCCCATTATTGATATCTATACTGCCTTTGCTTCTCTGAAACCCTCATTATGAAGCCAAAACACTAATCATGTATTTCACGTACTGCTCTATGTTCTTCTTGTGGTGTCAAATGCCCCTGGAGGGAATACACTTCCAATTTTGCCTTCGGACCTGTTACACACGAGCAATAAAAGGAATTTAACTTAAAAATTAGCAAAAGGCTAGGTAAGCAAAATATCTTCCTCAGTACAAATTACATTACACGATCGTGCTGTATTAACATCTGGAGTTAAAACAGAAACCAACCCAAATAACCTCTGGAGACATGGAATGTTTTCGTAGATTCTTGTCTAAGATTCCAACATGACAGTAAGGCCACCCAACTATCTCAGGCCTGCATTATCAGCTGTCTTTGTTCCCACCTTCCCAATATGAGCATTGTTTGAATACATACGGCTTTAAATATTTCAACTGCTCTTCCATATTTCCGGATTTGTAATCAATTACATCATCTGCCCCGAGCTTCCTTACAAGTTCACTGGCATCCTGAGAGCAAACTGCTGTCACATGAGCATCCCATGCTTTCATTACCTGCCCAAAAATGGAAAAAAAGGGGGGAGGGGAGTAGAAAAACTGAATTAAATAAAAAATAGTTGGCACCATGTATACATATATTAGGTTAATCTCTAGACAATTCTAAGTGCTCTGTCTTAACAAGAGCTACAGGAAGCTATCTGCCAGAGACTAGTAAAATGATTAAACTTTTGTTCACTAAGAAAAATCCAAGAAATAGATCTTATTTTCCCTGGACGAGACAGTCGCCTTGCTGTCATGAAGTTATAACCAATCCAATTATAGAAGGGCTCAGTGCCTCACCAGCATCAGAAAAGACAGGAGTTGATGGCCTTAAGCTCAGCATTTTCAATGATGACAAAGGTAAATGGGGAAAAAAAAAATCATGTCCTCAGAAGATGAATATTTAAAATGCGCCCAGAACATAAAAACGCAACATCTCTTCATTTGCATCTCCAGTAAGTGTTAGTATAATCTTGAGTCAGACAACTGGGTAATCAGGTACTGGGTAGTAAGTGAAAGGTGCTCTTAAAAAGAGGGGAAGAAGGGACTTCCCCTGGTGGTCCAGTGGTAAGGAATCCATCTTGCAATGCAGGGGACACGGGTTTGATCCCTATTCGGAGAACTAACAATCCATGTGCCGCGCGGCAACTAGGCCCGTGCACAACTGCTGAGTTCGCGCACCTCAATAAGAGAGCCCGTGAGCCGCAAACTGCAGAATGCACATGCCACAACTAGAGAGAGAAAACCCACAAGCCACAACTAGAGAGAGGCCCACACGCCACAACTAGAGAGAAGCGTGCGCTCTGCAACTAAGACCCACCACAGCCAAAAAAAAAAAAAAGAGGGGAAGAAAACATGGCCATTTTACTTTCAAAACATGCATCAGGTCCTCTCCTTTGGAGTAAAAAGACCTAAATAAATGGTTTGGAGGATTTAAAATGCAGATACCTTATATTTTAAAAATAATATATTTTAAAATAACTAGACTTAAAAAAAAAGAAGGATTCAGGATTAAGTATCCAGAAAGCATCATGCTCCAAAATTACTACAGTTCCTTTCTATAATGACAATTTCATAGAATTAAAAGGGAGCCATCATCAGCAAAATTTGAGAACAGTTACTTGAAGTTCACTGAGAAATTTTCAAATGGGCAGTTATAGGTCATAACAAATCAGCTGTTTTCTCACTCCTGTCCTCAATATCAATTTCCTGAGCTTCCTTAATACAAGTTGCAGAGGTTCACTAGAATATACGAGATCTGTGTTTGTTCTGTTCACTACTGAATCCCCATTCTGTGGTACACACAGATGCTGGAGATCTGTTAAAAAAATAATAATAATAAAGGATTTTAAAACTACTCAAATCTTATCTCTCACTTTTAAAAAGTTATATTGACCAAGGAATATGCCCTGGAAATCTGTGGGGAATTAAAACATTTAGGGACTGACATGATATATGATAGTTTATGTTTATGGGCCACAAACAGAGACACTTGAGTATAATGACATGTTGCTTTCAACAGCAAGTCCCAAACTAAATTCAAATATGTGAAGAATACAATCCAAGATGACTATCCAGTATCTGTATAAAAAAAGAAACTGTCAAGGAAAAAGGAAATTGTGTTCTAAGCACCTATATTTGTGTTTTCCTTAAACAGTATTAAATCCTCAGGAAGAATCTGTCATATCTTGAAACAGTTCAATGAATTTTTTTTCCAAATTTCTAGATTTTCCTCTCCCACTTAGAACTATCTAATATCTTTGCACACTACTAAAAGGTTTTAAAACAGCTTTAGTTGTTTTACTATTTTATGTAAACTAAAACACAAGTATGAGAGACGTCTGTAAGGCAGACACCATTCAGACAGAGACAGCAAGCTGGCTGCCACTCCAAAAGCTCTTCCCTGTGCCCGGTCCCCACACAAGTCCTCATTACCCTGATATTTATAGTAATCACCTCCTTGCATTTATTAAAAAAAAAAAAAAAAGGTTTTATCACCCATATATGCATTCCCTAGATACCATAGTTTAGTCTTACCTACCTACCTATCTATCGATTTATTTGACTGTGCTGGCTCTTAATTGCAGCACTCAGGATCTTCGTTGCAACATGTGGGATCTAGTTCCCTGACCAGGGATCAAACCGGGCCCCCTGCATTGGGAGTGTGGAGGCTTAGCCACTGGACCACCAGGGAAGTCCCTATCCCCTTCACTTCCTTAAAATTTATCTGTGAAAGAATCTAGGCCACGTGACCTGCAGAGTTTTTCCCACTGGAAACTCTGGAATTTCTGATTGCACACCTGGGACAGTTCTACCTGTTACTCTGTCCTCTGTATCTTCTGTTTCAATCCATTTAGTAAGACTATGAATAGTGTCTGGCAAAATTATAGGATGCATAGCATATCTGGTTGTTGCCCTTTTTATTATCTCAGTGGCTGTCTGAGTGATGGTGGTGTACAGGTGTACAGTTCGTATAGAAAAGGCAAATAATTTTTTTCCTTCTTTCAGTTTATAAAATAATAAATTGGTTTCCTATCATCTTCCAAAAGGGACCACTTTTTTAAAAATATCATCATGAACCCATGGATTTAAACATAGTTGAAGGATTTCAATCCACTGTAATTATCATTATGATTACTGAAGCTCAAACTGTCTTCTTTGACGATCTTTGGGAGTTTCTTCAAGTTGGCTCCTGAGCCTTTTTGACATGGCTCAACTAGCCTTTACTAACTACCTTGCTATTAATATATTCTAGGCTCATTCTTGTACATTTTGCACCCTAGATCTGGAATCTGCCATTTCTCCAAGGCGCTGCATTTTTTTCTGTGTGTAAGCAATGATATTTCAAGAGACAGCTTTACATACATACATATACAAAATATCTCTTGAGTTCAGACTGATACTTCCAATTCAAATTCCAGACTGTCAAGCTTTTACTTAACCTCTTTTCTGTTACATCTGTATCTCCTTTCCTCCACTCCTAAAATCCTGGTTGTCAAAGACAAAGGGGATGACAGAATTAAAATATGCCATAAATACCCAACTGTCCCACTCTATATTACAACATAACAGTCTCTGAATAATAGTACTAATATCACTGCCAATATGATTAATGAAAGGATTAAAATAATTTTAATATATGCTCTCTGTTCCTCCGCTTTTAAAAACAGCTGTACTGTTTACCTTGTCAGAGCATATGGCTGTTACACACTATACTCTTTTTCTAAGCCCTCATTTAATTTTAGTTCTACAGATAACTTTATATTTAACATTTACCACCAGTCCTTGATTCGATGTCTCTCTAGCCATTTTAGTTTTCAGAAGCTCATTTTCTAGTAGATTTCTCAGAAAGGGATCAGAAGAACATATTCCCCCAGCTCTTGCATGTTATTAACAGTTCGTATGTGCCCTTTAGCGTATGGAGCCCAGTTTTGCTGTATATAAAATTCTTAGCATATTCCTTCTCAAGTGTCTTAAATATGTTACTCCATCCCTGCTGCCTCCACTAGCATTAAAGCACTGTTGTCAAAAAGTCTGCTGATAATTGAATTTTACTTACATGTCACATGCTCTTTTTTTTTTTTTTTTTGCGATACGCGGGCCTCTCACTGTTGTGGCCTCTCCTGTTGTGGAACACATGGTCTGGACGCACAGGCTCAGCGGCCATGGCTTATGGGCCTAGCCGCTCCGCGGCATGTGGGATCTTCCCGGACTGGGGCACAAACCCGTGTCCCCTGCATTGGCAGGCGGACTCTCAACCACTGCGCCACCAGGGAAGCCCCTCACATGCTCTTTTTTTAAAAAAAAATAACACTGCTTTTTTTTTCTTAAAAAAAAAAAAAAACCTGGTGTGCAGAAACTAACACACCATTGTAAAGCAATTATACTCCAATAAAGATGTTTTTAAAAAAAAAAAAAAAAAAAAAAAGAATCGGTCCCAAAAGGGAAATGTGAAGACAGTACCATGGAGAAACTTGCTCTACTTAACCACTTGACTCAATTCTAGATCATAAAGACCAAGTTTGACTTTAATTATCTTTCTTTCCAAGTCCCTTTCATTATATCCTCTGTCAGCCTTGGTTTTCTCATTTGTGAAATAAGAATAGTAATGCCCACCTTATAGTTTTGTCAGAGGATTAGACATTAAACTAATTAAATGCAACCAGGATATTGTATCTAGCATCTAGTGTGTACTCAATGAACCTACTTTCCTCCCCTTGTAAAGCAAACAAACAACAAGCAAAAAACCTGGTGGCGCAGCAATTAAGAATCCACCTGCCAATGCAGGGGACACGGGTTCGAGCCCTGGTCTGGGAAGATCCCACATGCCGCGGAGCAACTAAGCCCGCGAGCCACAACTACTGAGCCCACACACCACAACTACTGAAGCCCACGCACCCTAGAGCCCGTGCTCTGCAACAAGAGAAGCCACCGCAATGAGAAGCCCGCGCAACGAAGAGAAGCCCCAGCTCGCCGCAACTAGAGAGAGCCCGCGAGCAGCAATGAAGACCCAACACAGCCAAACAAACCCAGCCAAAAAAAAAAAAAAAAAGAAAAAGAAAAAGAAAATGTCCCAAGGTTTTTTGGTTTGTTTCTCCTTTTTCTTTAAGTGCCAGTAATTTTACTAGAGTTCCCCTGGATATTGCTCATTCTGGGTCCATGTTCTTAGATAAGTGCTTTGGTTATTTAATACGTAGTTTCAAATCATTTAACTTCAGGAAGCAGGGAAGTTTCTTGAATTACTGATTTTAGCATTTGTTCTATCCCCTTGTTTCGGTTTTCTTCTTCAGAAACTCCTATTATCCATATAGCAATCTTCGTTCCTGTCTTCAATATGTGACACTTTCTCTGAATCTGTTTTTATCTCTTCCTTTCTTTTGTAATTTACAATTTTTCCTGTTTACACATTCTGTTTCTATCAGGCCAGCATTATGTGTTGTGTTTGTTATTGAGTTCCTTCTAGTTTAGTCTTCATTGCTAAATAATTTTTTTTTACTTTTTTTCTGAGTTTTCCAATTATGATTTATTTCGTTCTTTCATGCTCTCTATCGTATTTTTTAGATATATTAATTTATTTTTAATTAATTTATTTAATTTATTTATTTTTGGCTGCATTGGGTCTTTGTTGCTGCGCAGGCTTTCTCTAGTTGCGATGAGCGGGGACTACTCTTCATTGCCATGCGCAGGCCTCTCATTGCGGTGGCTTCTCTTGTTGTGGAGCACAGGCACTAGGCGCACAGCCTTCGGTAGCTGTGGCACACGGGCTCAGTAGTTGTGGCTCGTGGGCTCTAGAGCGCAAGCTCAGTAGTTGTGGCGCACGGGCTTAGTTGCTCTGAGGCATATGGGATCTTCCTGGACCAGGGCTCGAACCTTCTTAACCACTGCAATACCAGGGAAGCCCTCTATCGTATTTTTAATTGTTTTTTTAGCTTGTTTTTGAAATTGCACGTTTCATTTTGATGTTTTCTAATGTGTTTTGTCTGTAGATATGTTACTCTACCTTGATATTTATCTATTACTCAACTGTTTAATCTTATTAAAATATGTCCATTGTGAAACATAACACACAAAGTGCATGGAATATAAATGTACAGCTTAACAAATTATTATAAAGCAAATACTATTTTAAGCATCACTCAAGATTAAGAACTAGAACATCTCCTCACTTCCCCCTCCCAGTCAAAACCCCCCCTCACTCCCTTAGAAGTAATAACAACTATCAGGACTTTTACATGAGCCTCCCCTCGCCTTTTTGTAAAGAGATTTACTATCTAGATAAGCAGCCTTAAACACTATCGTATAGTTTCACCAGTTCCTGAGTGTCATTAAATGGAACCATGTAAGGTGTACTGTTGTTCCTGACTTCTTCCTACTTGTAAGATTCATCTACTTCATTGCACACAACTATAGTTTGTTTCCATGGCTGTGTAATGTTCCAGTGCAAGAATATACTGCAATTTACTTCCCCATTTTACTGCTGATGGCCATTTGAGTTGTTTCCAGTTGGGGGATAATACATGTAATTCTGGTACATATCCTTTGGTGAACATGCATGTACAGTTGACCTTCTGTATCCAAGAACTCCACATTGTTGAATTCAACCAACCAACCAGGGAGTGAAAATATTTGGGAAAAAAATTTGAAAGTTCCAAAAAGCAAAACCTGAATCAACAGTATACTTGCAACTATTTACAGAGCATTTACATTGTGTTTAGGTATTACAAGTAACCTAAAGAATATTTAAATTATACAGGAGGGTGTGTGTAGATTATATACAGATACTATGCCACTTTATATAAGGGACCTGAGCACCCGTGGATTTTGGTATCCAAGGGGATCCTGGAACCAATCTGAGGTTGGTTCTGAGGTTGGTATACTGAGGGATGACCATATGCCTATCTACAGAGTACATTCGTAAAATTGTTAGATCGTCATAGAGCAATTTATATTCAGAGTTACCAGATGGCGCCAAATTATTTTCCAAACTGGTTGTACCCATTACACTCTAATCAGCAGGGTATGGTATTTCTCTTTTTCTCCCTCCCTTCCTCCCTCTTTTCCTTTCTTCCATTTACTTATTCATTAACCCACATTTACTGACAATCATTAACCCACATTTACTGACAATCTGTGGATTAGGCCCTGGGTATCTGTCTTAGTCCATTTGGGCTGCTATAAAAACATACCACGGACTGGGTACTTTATAAACGACAGAAACGTATTTCTCACAGTTCTGGAGGCTGGAAGTCTGAGATCAAAGTGTCAACACCTTGATGTGTTCAGAGCCCTCCTCCTGGTTCATAGCCAGTGCCTTCTCTGTGTCCTCACATGGTAGAAGGGCTAAGGACCTCTGCTGGGCCTCTTTCATAAGGGCATTAATCTCATTCACGAATGCTCTGCTCTCATGACCTAATCACTTCCCAAAGGCCCCAATACCATCACTTTGGGCATCAGGACTTCAACATATGAAGTTTGGAGGGACATAAACATTTAGACCATAGCAGTATCTAATGGTGAATTAGAAAGTAGGCAAGGTGTGAATCTCCTGGGAGCCCTTTCCCCTCTCTCCCAATTCAGTGAGCAGGTGTATGAGAAACTCCAGCACTATCCTGGTCCTCAAAAGGTCTGAGGCGGGGTCTGGGGAGGAGGATAGCACCCCAATTCTCCCTCCTGTAAAGCCATGTGGTAGAGCCTCTGAGTGTGCTCACTAGTCACTAGCCCCTATTGGGGAAAGGGCCTCTCCCCTCATCCTGAGCGAGGCTCAATCAAGCCTGCTCTCCCAGCAGCCGGCCAGTTAAACATGTGACCACAATGGGAGCAGCCACTAGGTGCCATCCCGTTCCTAGAGGCTTGGGGCACTTTGCTTTGTTTGTTTTGTCTGAGGTAAAATTTACACAAAATTCATAATTTTAACAATTTTAAAGTGTATAATTCAGTGGCTTTTAGTACAATGTTGTGCAACTATCATCACTAATTCCAGAACATTTTCCTTACCCCAAACATAAACCCACACCCATCAAGCAATCATTCCCCATTCCCTCTTCCCCCCGAGTCCCTGGCAACCACTAATCTGCTTTCTGTCTCTATGGATTTGCCTCTTCTGGACACGACATAAATGGAATTATACAAAAATGTGACCTTTTGTGTCTGAATTCTTTCACTTAAGCATAATGTTTTGAAGGTTTATCCATGTTGTATTATGTATCAGAATTTCACTCCTTTTGATGGCTAAATAACATTCCATTGTGTATATATACCACATTTTGTTTTTCTATTCATCAGTTGATACATTAGGGTTGCTGCCATTTCTTTGTCCATTATGAATATTGATGCTGCTATGAACATTTGTATATAAGTTTTTGTTTGAAAACAAACAAAGAAGGTTTTCATTTCTCTCGGGTATATACCTAGAAATGGAATTGCTGGGTCATAGGGTAATTCTATGTTCAACATAGAATTAAGAATTTTAAGAAATTGCCGAATTTTTTTCCCACTGTAGCTGCACCATTTTACATTCCCACTAGCAACATATGAGGGTTTCAATTTCTCTATATCCTTGCCAACACTGTTATTTTCCATTTTTTTAATAGCCATCCTAGTAGGTGTGAAGTGATATCTCATTGCGGTTTTTTTTTAATTGAAGTGTAGTTGATTTACAATATTGTGTTAATTTCAGGTATTCAGGGTTTTTTTTGCATATTATATCCCATTATATGTTATTAGAAGATATTGGGTATAATTCCCTGTGCTACACAGTAAATCCCTGTTGCTTATCTATTTTATGGATAGTAGTTTGTATCTATTGATCCCATACTCCTAATTTGTCCCTTCCCCCTCTCCCCTTTGGTAACCATATGTTTGTTTTCTATGTCTGTGAGTCTGTTTCTGTTTTGTATATAGATTCATTTGTATTACTTTTTTTTAGATTCCACATATAAGTGATATCATATAGTATTTATCTTTCTCTGACTTATTTCACTAAGCATATTCTCTAGGTCCATCCATGTTGCTACAGATGGCAATATTTCATATTTTATGGCTGAATAATATTGCTTTGTGTATACATACATACACACACACACACACACACACACACACACACACACATCTCCTTAAGCCAATCATTCAATTGCGGCTTTGATTTGCATTTCCCTAAAGACTAATGATGTTGAACATTTTTCCATCGACTTACTGCTCATTTTTATACCTTCTCTGAAGAAATGTCTATTCAAGTCCTTTGTTGATTTTTTAACTGGATTGTCTTTTTGTTGTTGAGTTGTGAGAGTTCTTTACATATTCTGGATACCATACCTTTATTAGATAAGTGATTTGTAAATATCTGCTCCCATTCTGTGTGTTGCCTTTTTACTTTCTTGATAGTATCCTTTGATGCACACAAGTTTTGAATTTAATGAAGTCCAATTCATCTAATTTTTTCTTCTTTTGCTTGTGCTTTTGGTGTCATCTCTAAGAATCTATTGCCAAATCCAATGTACGAAGATTTACTCCTGTGTTTCCTTCTAAGAGTTTTATGGTTTTAGCTCTTACATTTAGGTCTTTAACCCAGTTTGAAATAGTTTTCACGTATGACGTGAGGTAGAGGTCCAACTTCATCCTTTTGCATGTGCATCTAGTTGCTCCAGTACCATTCACTGAAAAGACTATTCTTTCCCCTGTTTAATGGTCTTGCCACCCAGGTCAAAAATCAATTGGCCACTGGGACTTCCCTGGTGGTCCAGTGGTTAAGAATCTGTGCTTCCACTGCAGGGGGGCACGGGTTGGATCCCTGGTTGGGGAACTCAGATCCTACGTGCCACATGGTGTGGCCAAAAATAAAATAAAATAAACCTTTAAAAAGTAAATCAACTGACCATAGGTTTATTTCTGGATGCTCTATTCTGTTCCATTGATCTATATATCTATCTTTATGCCAGTACCACTGTTTTGATTACTGTAGTTTTGTAAGTAAGTTTTAAATTAGAGAAGTGTGAGTCCTCCAATTTTGTTCTTTTTCAAGATTGTTTGGCAATTTGGGGTCCCTTGAAATTCCATATGCATTTTAGGTTCAGCTTGCCCATTTATGCAAAAAAAAAGGCAGCTGCCACTTTGATAAGACTGCACTGAATCTGTAGATCACTTTGGGGGAGTATTGTCATTTTTATACAGCATTTTGGCTACTGCATTTCTATATATATTTTAGAACCAGCTTATCAATTTCTACAGAATTGCAAACTTCCATCCACTTTCACTGCCCATGGTCGTCCTCCTTAAAAGCTTTCCTACATTTGTTATATAGGACAGCCACAAACTCACTCATATATTAAACCACTGGAAAGGTTAACACTTCCTTCAACATTAGAAAATTTCCTTCTTAGAAGAGCAAGCTGAAATCGCAATGAATGTAATTTCTCACCTTTCAAGGAAAAATAGTTCACAATATATAAATTTATAAATTCATGAAAATAATAATCTTCCTATTCACAAGATAAAGAAATTGTCTTACCTGTATAGCAAAAGTACCAACTCCGCCTGAAGCACCCAAGATTAAAACACTGCAATGCAAAAATACTATAACTAATGAAAATATTAAGCCAACATAACTGGATAAACAAACAAGATGTTTCCAACATGTAACTGGCTCAAAGATAATCCCCAAAGCAAACAAAATCAGCTTCCCAAGATTCTACTACACAAGGATTATTTTAGGTTCACCAAGAACCTATAAGTGCTTAAAGTCAGACATACTATGAACTCTTTGCCAAGAATACAATATACCAAAAATACCAATGATTTGTATTTTTTTAAACAGCTCAGATGCTTCTTGGTAACATCTGTCTTATAATTTTTCTAGGCTTAAATTACCATAGCTTTCTCTATACGAGGGAGCTTTGGGATCCTTTTTAGTGTGTTACAGTATATTCAGTTGCTCTCTAAGAAAAATCACATTCCTGACCACATTCTTGCCAAAGTGGAATAAACGTCTTTTGTTCAGACACATCCCATCACGCTCACCAGCTTTCATAAATGGAAACCAATCTTATCTTCAATTTGGCTTCTTGTTAAGCAGATGAATCTGTTCTATCAGCACAAACATGCTTGTGCTCCAGGTTTTTACCATGTTTCCTTACTGTATGTAGTCTTTCTGCCACTCTAGACCAAGGAGGTGCAGCCTGGAGTTTGTGGATGAGTGCTGGTGAGAGCCGTGATGGTGTGAACCCTGTGAAACTGTGAACTGACTGAAATAACATGCAAAATTTGGTGAGATCATGCATATGTGCATCGGGGAAAAGAAGGATCCAGACTTATCATCAATTTCCCAAAGAAGGCATGATTCAAAAGAAAATCACTAGTCAAGAATCACTGCTTTACATATTCTCACATTTATTCTGAATTAAGCTAGAGCTCCAGTGAACTGCCTTCCCCAGACTGCATAGATTCAGGTCCTCAGAAAATTGTTTGTACTGAACTGCACTTTGGTGTTCTGTTACCAGTCTAGGCTGAGAGACATTATAAAATGTGTCCGTTTGATATCTGACACTACATTAGCTAAGGAGATACTGTTGAGAGAATTCTTCCTGATAATTCTCTTTATGAGTGCCCACAGGAAAAAAACATTTTTCTGAAGACTAAGTTGGTGGGAGTAGCTATGCTTCTATTTGTCTGTCACTGCAAATTGTGCAACTGCAGGTTGTGGGTCCCTCTTTGACTTGGCTGCTGGAAAGCACAGGGAGTTTTGTCACCTATCTCAATCAGGTACACCTGGAACATACATTCTGTCTACAATCTTAACCCTAGTTTCATTTTATGTTTTTTCTCTCTTACCCAAATCACAGAAGGCTGGTTGTCACCCTTTAGATCTTAGAAGTTATTAGTAATATTTGTAAGCCAGCTATTCCCTTTGAAATTACCATCAAATGTAATTAAGACAAGTCTTTTTGAAAATGATGCTCCTTTTAGAAGAGTTACTTTTAATTTCATAGAATTATAAATTGTGAAGAATAAAAGAAACTTTAAAGATCAACTCCTCCAAAATCCTTCAATTCACACATTTAATAGCTTTAATGCTTCCTAAATGGGGGCATGGTGGGGGAGGGGAGAAGCACTAAGACTGCTTCACAGATACATCCCAAAATTAGCTCATCCATGGGATATTATACCCTCTTATTTTGGCACATTCTTATAGAAATGTACCTAGTCAAACTCTCAGTTAAGTTCTTCACAATCTAATCTTTTTTGCAACTCCGACTTCCTCTATTTCTGGAACAGAACTCTCCACCTGAGCCTCCCTAGTCCCCTCACTCGGAACCACAAGTCCCATGCACGCTGGCCCACGCCTCAGGCTCTCAAATGCCTTTCACTGCCTGCTGAGGTCTCCCTTCCCTCAAAGGCTCAAATCCCAGTTTGCCTGCGCAATACCCTAGAGACAGCCCTGAGCCTGATACCCATGCCCGCACTTGGCATTGCACACATTGTTAACTTTCATTCACATGTTTGCTGCCCAGGCCATTCTGCAAGACTCTGAGGACAGAGACCTCATATTACGCCCAGCACCAGCCATACTACCATGGGTGTAGCAGATGCCTGATCAATGTTGCTTGACTTTAAAAATCACCTAGGGACTTCCCTGGTGGCGCAGCGGTTGAGAATCCCCCTGCCAATGCAGGGGACACGGGTTCGATCCCTAGTCCGGGAAGATCCCCCATGCCACAGAGTAACTAAGCCCATGTGCCACAACCACTGAGCCTGCGCTCTAGAGCCCGCAAGCCACAACTACTGAGCCCGAGCGCTGCAACTACTGAAGCCCATGTGCCTAGAGCCCGTGCTCCGCAACAAAGAGAAGCCACCGCAATGAGAAGCCCGCGCACCGCAACAAAGAGTAGCCCCCCGGGCTTCCCTGGTGGCGCAGTGGTTGAGAGTCCGCCTGCTGATGCAGGGGACAGGGGCTCGTGCCCCGGTCCGGGAAGATCCCACATGCCGCGGAGCGGCTGCGCCCGTGAGCCATGGCCGCTGAGCCGGCGCGTCCGGAGCCTGTGCTCTGCAGCAGGAGAGGCCACAACAGTGAGAGGCCCACGTACTGCAAAAAACAAAAAAGAGTAGCCCCCGCTTGCCGCAACTAGAGAAAGCCCGCACACAGCAACAAAGACCCAACGCAGCAAAAAAAAAAAAATTAAATTAAATAAATAAAAATAATCGAAATCAGCATTATATCCCACAATTAACAACAATTGCTACTACCCCAAATGAGGGAATCACCTGGCTATTTGAAAGACTGCATTAAAATTTCTTCCAATAAAGAAAAGCTTGAAATGAATTTCTAATTCTCACCCTGAGAATTAAGAGGATACCAAATACAATGGCTGCTTAAGGATCCAATGGCCAGACACATCTCCAATTCATTATTGTCAGTTCACAGCTTCCCCATAACTCTTGATTCAAAGCAGTCTCACTCCTCCATATGAAAAAGCAAAAATGTGTTTCTTAGCAGCTCTTGGTGGAAGAGGGAGTGGTTCTGCATTAGCAGCTTCAGTTCCTGATGGCGCCACTTGACAGCGCCCGCGAGCGCAAAACAGGCAAGGAGCAAAGCCCAAAGAAGTACTACAGACAGGTCAGTTTGTGAAGCAGCCCTGGGGGCACACCGTTCATTCTCTGGTCATGCAAACTCCATGTTTCGTGCAGGTTCAAGCAGGGCCTGTACTTTTCTTTAAACAAAGGAAGTCCCCAAGACGGACAGCAAGCAAATATATTTTTCAAGCCAGCAATAAGTCAGCTGGTCCTCCATGGTTTGAAGCCCTATGGCCAAAGGAACTATTCTTGTACTCTTCAAAGAACTTTCAATACAAAGGGAAAATACTGCTGTTGCTTATCCCCTGTGGCCCTTCACTTCAGTGCTATACAGTGGGAATACTTTCTAACCAGCTTGCTGTAATGGTCGTGAAACATATTCAAACTTCACCTAAGTAGTAGCCTATTTGTAGAGTGGAGAAAGGTGTACTCTGCTGTATCTTCTACGTATTGCTTATCGGTTTATAAAGAGTAAGGGCCCAGGAAATACTCTCTTTACAGAAAGCACTATAATTCAAAATTGCCAAGAATTTTAGTCACATTCTTCTCTTCCTAAGTCCACATGCATAGCTTCTTTGGCAGTCAGTGGGAACTGCACTGTGGCTGATGTAAAAATATGAGAGAGGGCTTTCCTGGTGGTGCAGTGGTTAAGAATCCGCCTGCCAATGCAGGGGACGTGGGTTCGAGCCCTGGCCCGGGAAGATCCCACGTGCTGCGGAGCAACTAGTTTCCTTTCCATGACTGAGTCACTTTGTATTTAGCATCTGGGCACCTACGTCCTCTACAATCACGTTTCAGTATCACAATCTTACGAGACAAGGCACCAACACCCTAATTGCCTTACACATAAAAAATATATGAGACATACTACAAAACAGCAGGCGATCCAGAAGTAGGGAATTGCCTTTCAAATTTCTACATTCTGGCTAAGCCCCAGAAATCTCTGAATGCCAGGGCCAGATATCTAGAGACCTGGGATCTAGTCACAACTCTCTCATTAACTCAATCTCTAGGCCTCAGATTCATCAGCTGTGAAACGATCATCACAGAGGTGTACTCTAGGTGTTAGTGAATGAGAATTGGCATTTTCAATCGAATTTAAGCTTATATTTAGTTTCTCCGCCTTTCTAACGTAGACGTATATGACCTTCACGATCCCCCCCAGACCACATACTTGTAATGGGAAAAAAAAAGTCACAAGAGTAGAGTGCCCTTCATTAAGTCCTAATGGCTCCGAAACAAAGCTGATTTAAATATGGCTAAATCTTCCATCAGTAGAAATAAGTGGTCTTTAAAAGATAAGGATGATGCTGAAAATGTATAAACTCATCTTTTAGTTTCACACACTGCTTTTAAATCTGGAGGAAAAATGGGTGAAAGATAGCAAAGCATATCATAATATGCTAAATTTATTCCCTTAAGTGAGAAACTTAATCTGAATAAGGGGAATAGAATTACAAAATAAATCAACCAAACATGACTAAGACAGCCTGGGTTTGTGTGTCCCCTTCTTCTACTCCTCCGTAATTCATGCAGACATTCCCCAATTTACAGAAGAGTTCATGTGTAAATTAGTTGTTCAGAACTTTAAACACATTTTCCCGTGAACACAAAGCTATTTATACATCTTGGCAAGATGCCCAGGGTAGCCCTTTAAAAAGGTTTAGTTAACCCATAATGGACCAAGAACCTTATACACAGTATAACGATGGTTCTGGGGGACATGTACTCAGAATTTCAACCTGGGGTACTGGGAACACATCTCCCCAAATGGGACAGGCAGTGGGAACCATTCCAAGACACTGGTTCCTTCCATCCGGTGCAAAGCAGAGGAAGGAAGACAGAGGGAAGGCTCATGTATGATGGCAACGCGAGAATGGATGAGAGAAGTAGCGTGGTCAGAGGTTTACCATGGAAGTGACAGGATTCAGGAAGTGCCACCTGAACATAAGGCACCTTAGCAGACTGAATATTTTAAGCTGAAGGAATT